TCTTTCTGAAGAAGGGTCCCGACCTGAAACGTCAACTTTCCTGCTCCTCTGATGCTGCCTGGCCTACTGTGTTCCTCCAGCTCCACACTGTGTTATCCTTAAAATATGGCTTAGTATAGCTAAGATTTATTTAAATTAAGCAGGCTACTTTAAAGAAGGTAATATTCTCCAGTAGTTTCTTTCTGTCTGGGATGGCTATGTTAAGCCTACACACCCAAGGCTTATGTGTTTGTGGGATTGGGTAGCTTGAAGTCAGCGAACAGAAGTTTTCAGGAGATATTAGTCTTGACGGAAATTAGCTCTAAATAAAGCTATAAATCACTTAATGTGTCCATCTTTGAATGGTCTCTACATATGATGTTTGCTTCCAGCATACTGTGCACATCAAAAATGTAGAAACCATTGGTTCAATTGATACTAGTTTCTGAGTCAGAAAAGGTTGAGCTCAGATCCTGCTACAGATAGCCCTAGAGACCACAGCACTAACTCTTAGTGCTGCAATAGGGGTACAAGTGTAAAATAATTGTGCTACATTTATCCCATAGTAAAAGGTAGATGGGCCTTTTTACTTTTAGTTGCTGTTGCCCTGGGGAAGATATTGTAAAATATTAAATAATGAGGAAGGCTATGTGAGGTTATTTTATTGCGTGGTGTGATGCCCCACTATGATTTTGCATTTGAGATAGACTGATTGAGGAGAAGACAATGTCAAGACCTGTGTTCAGATTTAGACTTCAAAGCATTACTATCTATCGTGCATTAGTCCTAAATACTGCTATACAAGTTAATCATAGATACTTCAGGCTATGGCTTATAATAACATTTCCTAAGGACAAACGTATCTTCCTTGTGTTTTCATTACCATCCTATAATTTCACCTGGTGGAGAAAGTTCTAACTCAACCCACACTGTGTTATTTATACATGGTGATGTGCAGCTCTGTGACATCATCACAAGGTTGCTCCAGGATCCTGCAGCAACTGACATATCAGTGAATGCCAAAAGCTGACTTTTAATGAAAGGCTGTTACAGTGCCATGCTGGTGTCCCTAAATCTAAGGTTAAAGTTCAAATCCAATCTGCTTCAAAGGTGTGTCATAAGCTGACTAAAGACAATTTATTTTTCCAGTATTTTACACAAAAGAAACCACCTCGTCTAGCATTCCAAACTGTATCATCTGTATGGGACTTGAGTTAGGACCTGTCCTCGGATGCAAACAAGTGACAGATGGATGGACACTGTTCTTTATTATCTCCTTTTACATAGGTTTGGCAATAAAGTAGTTTCAGTCCTTTTTATAACAGATTTCTAATCTCAACCTGCCATTTTTAGAATTTAAATTCAATTTTTTTCTTAAATGCTGCAAATATAAATCAATCTTTTCACTGCCCTCTGTAGTGGCCTGATAAGTCACTCAGTTGTGCTAAACCAGAAGGTCAAGATAACTAAGGATGATAGAAAAAGAAAGTCAGTTAAATCTTTTCAAGTTTTAGGTACAAAAAGGCAAAATTATTGCATGCATTATTTTGTGTTATATATTTATAAAAATACTTGACTTTACATAGTGCCTTTTATGTCCACAATATATCCTAAAGTCAATGAAGTATTTTGGAAATGAAGCCACTATTGTAATGTATGATAGGTAATACTATATTCAGCCAATAGCCATATTTTCAAACTTCTTCCTTTGCAGGGTTTGTTTTTCCACATAACTATTGCAAAAATCTGACTTTTAATGAAAGGCTGTTACATGCCGTGCTGGTGTTCCTAAATCTAAGGTTAAAGTTCAAATCCATCCTGCTTCAAAGGTATATCATAAGCTGACTGAAGACAATTTATTTTTCCAGTATTAATCACTGAATATGCAAGTCTTTTATGATGCTAAAGGCGGACCTAGTTCGCAACAGGTCTAGATGCATAGCGTAATAATTTTAACCCACTTTTATTATGTTACAATGATGTTCAAGACTAAATTTTACCTTTGGTCAATGCCAGTGAGTGATTGTTTCCACAGGCCACTTGAATGACATTTCTGTCATTCAAACCCTTAAGTAACCTAAACATAAATAGAACAGAATCAGAATGCAAATTCAACCAACATCTTAGAACTCTATCCTGAATAACATTGGTGGTCTAGCTACAGCAAATGGGCTTCAGAGGCAGTTCACTACCACCTTGGAATGGAAGATAACTGTTGGCCCAGTCAGTGATGCCCAATTCTCAGGAATGATTTTCTTTTAAAAAATAAATCACCATTTCTGATTTTTTTCTTAGTAATGTTTCTCGTTTATTTAATTTTTTGGGAGGACTTTAAAAATTTTTTTCTAACCCACGTTTATAGTACATCATCATTGGACTTTTAAAATGTAACCAGCACCAACATATTTTTTGTTGTCCTTGTGTCTCTGCATGAATTTCGTAAGCAGTACAATGCCTACAGGATCATACTGCTTATTTGAAATATATCACTGGATAAACAGTTGCCAAACCCACCAAAGTGAGTTAGTGAGTCAGCCTTGGTTCAGCTGGTGGCACTCTTGTCTTCTAATGTAGCAAGTTGTAATGTTGAGCACAAAATTAATGCTGATGTTTCAGGAGTGCTGTCACATAGGAGAGACCAAGTGTTTGACATTGAAAAGCTCTGCAGTCCTAAAATGTCTTCCTGGTGTTCAGGATCACTGTTATCACCACAGCTAGTTTGTAAGACCTTATCAGTTATACATAAGGGCACTGGAGAAATTCCATCAGCAATGCTCCTGCCACACATTTTGCAGGCAGTGGGAAGATTATCAAAATGCTAATATCCTTCTTAAAACCAGCTCTCAAAGCATTCAGGCAAATCTGCTACAAAATGAACTTTGATGTATAGGACACTATACAATGGTTTAAAGCCACATCCTGACTGCCAGACCCTGTTATCTCAACTCTCGAGTGGCCAATGTTCTAGATGAGGGCAAAAAAAATTGCTTCAAAGACCTGTTGAAACTCTCCTTAAAACACCACAGCATTGACATTAATGATTGGGTGGAGCTTATTACCAACTTTTCAGAATGGTGGCAACGTGTCCCTCAAGCTGAATCAAGCAACATGTCCCTCAAGCTTTGATTCACAATGTCCGAAAGATCAGCAACAGGGAGGAATCCTGTACTCCACATCCCAGTACTATGCGGGACATCCTACAGAGTGCGGCTAAAGATCTGTGGGCTTAAAATCAACCTATTCAGTCATATGAAGACTGATGGCAGAAACTCAAAGACCCTGAATAGACGCTCCCTTTGAATTAAAGGACAGCTGATAACAATGACGGTGATGCAGTACTGATATGGAACATTAAATTGGCTATTGAGTCATCTAAGGGCTAAATGGGGGTTGGTTTAACTCAGTTGGCTGGGTAGCTGGTTTGCGAAGCAGTGTGATGTTCAATTCCCATCACCAGCTGAGGTTACCATGAAGGACTCTCCTTCTCAACCTCTCCCCTCACCTGAGGAATGGTGGCCCTCAGGTTAATTCACCACCAGTGGTCTTTCTCTAATGAGAGAGCAGCCTATGGTCTGGTAAGACTATGGTGACTTGATACCTTGAAGGGCTAAATTCTGTCATCACTCTGCCATCTTCTAACACTGATAGCAATTCAGTTTACAACATGACGCTGCAGAACCAAACAAATTATCCATTATTTTTCACATAAAAGCCACCAGAAATAATATGACTCTTACTGTGGTTTCAGTATGGAGAACTCCTTTGCCTGAGCTTCAAGTTGCTTTGAGTTTACTTCACTATAATAAAGACTTCCGGTCTTGGAAAGGAACAGGATGTGGGATGACCCACTGTCGGCAAAGTGGATTTTCTGCTCTTTGAAGTGAACAAAACTTCCTACAGGGAAAGAACAAAAGCAAAATATTATTATTTGAGGTTAAAATGGTTACGTAATCCCCAGATGTGAGATTGAATTCCATCGTTACAGTTTGAGAATTTGAAATTTTTTTTTTTAAAAAAGCCATCTCATTCACAAAGTCCTTTGGGAAAGGAGATCTACTGTCTATAGTTAGTGACTAAAAGTAACTCCAGTCCCACATCAATGATATTCCACAAGACCAAAAGATATAGGAACAGAATTAGGCCATTTGGCCCATTGGGTCGTCAACCCTAAAATGGCCCAAGAAGCCTCTTACTCATGTCAAAACATGACATCAAGTGCGACCAAGTATTTGCAGGACAGGATGCACAATAAGTGTCAACCTTGTTAGTTAGCATACATTACAACAGTAAATATAAAACTATATATAGAAAATGGAGAACCAACAAGTTCAACTTAGAATAAGTTATGCCTTGTTGCTGCCAAGTTACTTAAAAAATGTGGTTGTTACAATATTTGTCACTTTACTGGAATTATATTAAGGTTTCAAGGATTAGATTATCATGTCAGGTTGCATTTGATTACAAGAACCAGGCCATTTGAAAATGAAGTTAGGAAATACCTCTTTAAAAAGGGGTTGTAAAGATCGGAAACTCCATTCCCAATAGAATGTGATGCTGAGTCAAAAATTCTTAGATAGCACCTTCCAAACCCAAAATCACTACTATCTAGAAGGACAAGGGCAGCAGTTACATGGGAACAGCACCACTTGCAAGCTCCCTGCTAAGACACAAGCACAAACTAAAATAGAAATTGCAGCATCTGTGGACAGAAATCAGAGTTAACATTTTTGGTTGAGAGATCCTTCCTCAGAACTGACGGTAGCTAAGAAAATGTCAGTTTATATGCAGAAGATAGGGTGGGGGAGGGACAAGAAGTAAATGATAGGTGGGGATAGAGGCAAAAGAGACAGAAGAGCAGTTGGACAGATAAAGGAGTGGATAACGATCTGGCTGGGAGAGTGAATAGCTATTAATGGGGACTGTTTGTGGCTAACAATGGGTTGTGTATAATAGTAGACTGTGTGATAACAAGGTCTGGTGTGTGGGCGTTGGGTTAAGGACATGGAAGAGCTCAAGCACTAAAGTTATTGAACTCGACGTTGAGTCCGGTAGGCTACAAGGTCCCAAAGCAGAAAACAAACTGCTGTTCTTCCAGCTTGCACTGAGCTTTGCTGGAGCACTGCAGCAAGTCTGAGGCAGAGATGTTGGCCAGGGAACAGGGTGGTGTGTAGAAGCGGCAGGCAACTGGAAGCTCAGGCTCATTCTTGCAAACAGAACGCAAGTGTTATGCAAAGTAGTCATCCAGTGTATGCTTCGTTTCCCCAATGCAGAAGGGACCACATTGTGAGCAGTTAATGCAGTAGACTAGATTATGTGAAGTGCAGGTAAAGTGCTGCTTCACCTGGAAGGTGTGTTTGGGTCCTTGGAAACTGAGGAGGGAGGATGTAAACAGATAGGTGTTATATCTTCTGCGGCTGCAGCCACTCACTATCCTGACTTGAAAATATGTCGTCGTTCCTTCACTGTCACTGGGTCAAAATCCTTGAATTCCCTCATAAACCGCACTGTGGGACCACCAACAGCACATAGCACATAGCACATAGAAGGCAGCTCACCACCACCTTCTCAACAGTTTATAGAGACATATTGATAAGTTAGGTAAGTGGGCAAAAAATTGGCAAATGGACTATAATGAGGGAAAATGTGATGTTGTTAATTTTTCAAGGGAGAATAAAATAACAGACTATTATTTAAATGGAGAAAAATCTGTAGAAAGCTGCAAAACAAAGGGACTTGAGGGTACTTGTACATGAAACACAGAAAGCTGGCACACAAATGCAGCAGATAATCAGTAAGGCTCATGGAATATTGGCTTTTATTTCAAGGGAGTTGGAGTGTAAGACTAGGGAAATTTTACTGCAACTGTGCAAGGTTTTGGTGAGAGTAATTTGAAGTAATATGATCAGTTTTTGTCCCCTTATTTAAGAAAAGATATAATTTCATTGGAGGCTGTTTTGAAAACATTCATAGGATGATCCCTGGCATGAAGGGATTGTCTTATAAGCAAAAGCTAAACAGGTTGGGACTCTACTCACTGAAACTTCGAATAATGAAAGTGATCTAATTGAAACACATATGTGATTCTTAAGAGGGCCTGACAGGGTAAATGCTGAGAAGGTGTTTCTCCTCATGGGAGAGTCTAAGACCAGACAGCACAGTCTCAGAATAAAGAGGCGCCAATTTAAGATTGAGATGAGGAGAAATTCTTTCTGTCAGAGGGTTGTGAATCTTTGGAACTTGTTATCTGAGAGAGCTATGCGGGTAGAGTCATAGAGTTATATGGCATAGAAACAGACCTTTTGGCTCAACTTGTCCACGCTGATATGGTATCCTAAATTGAACTAGTACTATTTGCCTGTGTTTGGCCCATATCCCTCTATACCTTTCGTATCCTCTGGCAGCTTGTTTCATCCATGCATTACCCTCTGTGTGAAAAATTTGCCCATCAGATCTCTTTTAAATCTCTCCCCTCTCACCGTAAACCCATGCCCTCTAATTCTGCATTCCCCTATCCTGGGCAAAAGACCATGGCTATCCATCTTATCTAAGCCCCTCATGACTTTATAAACCTTTATAAGGTCACTCCTCAGTCTCCTACGTTCCAGGAAAAATATCCCAGCCTCTCCTTATAACTGAAACTCTTTAGTCTCGTAATATCCTTGTAAATCTTTTTTGCACCCTTTCCAGTTTGATAACATCCTTCCTATAGCAGGGTGACCAGAATTCCATGCAGCACACTAGACATGGCCTTACCAATGTCTTGTACAGCTGTAACATGATATTCCAAGACCTGCACTCAGTTCTCTGACCAATGAAGGCAAGTATGACAAACACCTTCTTCATCACCCTGTCTACCTTCCAAGGAATTATGTACTTGCACCCCTAGGTCTCTCTGTTCGACAAGTCCCTAGGGCCCTATCATTAAATGTGTAAATCCTACCCAGATTTGTCTTACCAAAATGAAATACATTGGATTTATTTAAATTAAACTCCATATGGCATTCCTCGGCCCATTGGTCCAGTTGATAAGAATCTTATTGTATTCACAATTGATTGCTTGGACTTTGCCATACCTTTCTTTTCAGCAAAACCAGTCATGGTGCCAAAGACCTGGCTGCTGCTGCTATTTTTCCCTGAGAGGCTATCCTGCCCAGCAGTATCTAAAATGGTATTCTTGTTTGTGAGGGGGATAGCCACAGGAGACTCCTGTGCTCCGTGCCTACCTCTCCTGGCAGTTACCCATTTACCTGACTGTACCTGCTGTGTGACCAACTCCCTGCAGCTACTATCTATCTCACTGTCTGCCTCCTGCATGCTCCTCAGTGCTTCCAATTGCTGCTCCAACCGATCCACGTGGTCTGAGAGGGGTACAACCAGACACACATTCTGCAGACATCAAGACCAGGGACAGTCGACTGCTCCCTGATCTCCCACATCCAACAGGAGGTGCATGCCACTCTACTGACTGCCATCTCTGCACCTTTAACAACTAGCAGTCTTACACTTACCTTGCCCTTACCTTACTGCTGCTTGTCCTCCTCAACAAAGCCCAGTATTCACCTAGACCCACCCTTCAATCTAACCTTCTCAGCCACAAAGCAGCCCCTTGCAAAAATGGTCAGAACAAATCACAACAATGCCTCCCAACCCTCTTGCCTAAACTCCCACACTTAGCTCCTCTCCCAGCGTTTGCACTCTCTTGCTATATTTAAGGCTGAGAGATTCTTGATCAGTAGAGAAATCAAAGGTAAAGGAGATGGGGCAGGAAAATGGATATGAGGAGTGTTGGATCATCCATGATCCCACTGAATGGTGGAGCAGGCTCAAATGGCCTACCAGTGTTCCTGTTCTAATGGTCTTATTGCAACTATGGGTGGACAATAAAAGCTGGCCAAGCCATTAGCATCCCTGCAGGTTTCTCTCCAGAATAATTTGGTCGGCAACATGGAGGGAGGTCAGAAAAGGAACAATTTCTATTTGTAACTCAATTCCTTCCCTTTTTAATCAAAATCATTCCCCAAAAACCTATGGCTAGAAATGCATCAGCTGCCCGCAGGAGCGAGACCTGGGAGATTTTAATGACTCCCACAACCAGGAACTGCTGGAGAAATTCAGCAGGTCTGGCAGCATTGTGGGAAGAAAACAGAGGTAATGTTTCTGCCCAGTGACCCTTATTCAGAACTGTTAGCAGCTGGGAGGAAGTGGCATTGATGCTGAAGCTGAGTTGGGGTCTTGGGGAGAGGTGAGTGGACACGTGGAGATGGAACCCAGAGAAAGACAGATATAAAAGGGGTAGGTAAACAAGGAGATAATGGAGAGTAGAGCAAGATGGAAGAAAAGCCGTATTAAATGATATTAAGAAGTAACAGGACAAAATGAGTTAGCTGCTGATTTGCTAATCTTAAAAAAAGACCCACAGGATTTTGATGAGTGTCCTTGTCATATTCCTGTTGTTGTTGGTTAAAATGCCAACTAATTACCCCTTGGTGGGTCATGAGCCCTGGGCAATAATAACTGCCCAGCCACCTGGAGGCTTAAAATCATGTCTGATGGTGTGATTAAGGCAACATTTCACTTTGAGACAAATATTATTGCTCCAAACCAGATCACGGTGGCTCAGTGGTTAGCACTGCTACCTCACAGCACCAGGGACCCGGGTTCGATTCTACCCTTGGACTCCCTTGTGTGGAGTTTGCATATTCTCCCTGTGTCTGCGTGGGCTTCCTCTGGGGCTCCAGTTTCCTCCCACAGTCCAAAGATGTGCAGGTTAGGTGGATTCGCCATGCTAAAAATTGCCTGTATTGTTCAGGGATGTGTAGGTTATAGGGGGATGGGCCTAGGTGGGATGCTCTGAGTGTTGGTGTGGACTAAGTTGGGCCGAAGGGCCTCTTTCCACACTGTAGAGTTTGGATGATGATGAAACCCTCTGCGAATTTACAAGTATGACCGAATGTTTGTTTGTTTCAACAAAGATATTGTTGTCTCTGTTTGCATGAACAGATCAAACTGAGTCAGTTTTTGGAGGCGGTTGAGAGCAGGACTCTGAGTCATTGCTGCAGCTGTCCCTGTGGCTGAGAAACGAAACCGAAAGATGCCACAATCAAAAATAAAGAAATGTAGTTTAGAGATGTAGCAAGAAATGTAGCAAGGAAAGAGTTATGTGGGAAAAAGATATCACAACTCTCTGGAAACTGCACTTAAAACCCAGACACAGTGAGCCTGTATTATACAATCGACACCCACGTTACAACCAATAATCACGTCCCAACCATCAACTATATTCTAACCGATAACTAACTTACGGTTGATGTCCACATTATACTCAAAACCCACATTATAACCGATGCCCACATTATAACTGACACACAAACACAGTTAGACAAATACAACGTGGGGCTCGGGCACAGCATTAAAATAAACATTAAATACAATTCCTGGGCCAATTTTACTTGAATGAATTATCAGATTGTAACACAAGTCACTAACAAACGGTTAACAAGGGATGGGCAATAAGTGCTGACTCATCCAGAGACCAACGGATGAAGAAAACACAATTCTTGACAAGAATTTAATATTGACATTACAGGGTCTCTACTCCATATATAGTTAGATGCAAACTTTGAACGCGTCATTTGCTTTGCAATATGTCTAAATTGATACATATATCTTTACATGTATAACCATTCAATATTAAACAATTCTCCTTCCTCTTATAGACAGGATTGTAATATTTCTGTCTCCTCACCCGATTTTGATTTTCGCTTCCGTCCGCGGGCTTTGGTGTAAACTTTTCCGTTTTTCAACACAAACACAGTGACTCCTTCCCGGCTGCAAACATGATGAACCCTCTCTCCTTTGAGAATCTCCTCTGACTGAGAGCAAGGATTCTGTCCGCTCGCTGAGCCCAACTCCCCCCAACACAACATCCTCCCTCCTCTCTCTCTCTCGCTGCCTGTTTTATTATTCCCCTTCTAACAATCGGGAACCGAGAGAGAAGAAAAGAATAACTCAACCCAGAGAGAGTCAGATATAAAATATTCCTGTTTCCGGGGCTGAACCAATACTGCCTTTGACAATCTCTCTGTTGGACTCATACACACACACAGTATATTTAGTTGTTTGGGAAATTCCCTTCCTTTGGCTCCGCCTCTGAGCCAGCAATACGAGCCAATGGCAACGAGAATTTTGAGTTGTTTTGGGGAGTAACCTTCCAACTGTATTGAGCTACTGCATTAAGTTTCCATTTCCCGACTGACCGTGCTGATGGAATGATGAAAGGGAACTGGAACTGAAACGTAATCTGAAGCCAATTGATTAACTAGGAGTAAAGTTGGCGAATGAAAATCGATACTGAACAACTAAACAGATCCCATACAAACAATCAAAAAGAAACCACTCTTGTTCGTAAACAAGTGAGATACTGCGGATGCTGAATATCTAAAACAGACAAAGAATTCTGGAGAAACCCAGCGGGTCTGGCAGCACCTTTTCTTTTCTCTCTGGAGAGAAAACAGAGTTAATGTTTCGATTCCAGGATGACTCCTTCAGAATTGAGAGGTTTTGGAATTTATTTTATTCTTACACAGAGGCTCAGCGCCAAAGACAAGGGGCTCGTTGGAGGTGGAGAAAGAGAAAAAAAAGATGTAAAATGGGTGTGAATTAAGGTGTGAAAGGGAGAGAATGGGTTCTGTCTACTAAGAGCGCAGTAAACAAGACACAAACTTCACAAGCACAAACAAAAACGGAAATTGCTGGAAAAGCTCAGCAGGTCTGGGCAGCATCTGTGGAGAGAAATCGGAATTAACGTTTCGGGTTCAGTGACCCTTCCTCAGAACTGATGGATGCTGCGAATAAAAATTATGCAAGGGTTTGAGAGGTTGGGGGAATGTAAGAAAAATGGAGAACAGTCAAAATGCAGTATGTTTCTGAAGTTATGGAATTCAATATTGAGACCTCAAGGCAGTGACTAACCGGAAAATAAGGTTTTGTACCTAGCACTTGTGTTATGTTTTGTTGGAGCACTGTAGCTGGCCCAGGACAGAAATGTTAGTACGAGGGCAAGGTGGGTTATTGAAATTGCAAGCAACTGGGACGTTGGACAAGAGCGGAAGTGTTCCACGAAGCAGTCACCGAGAGCGGGTTTGCTCTTGCCAATATAAAGGAGACGGATTTGTGAGCAGCGAACGCTGTAGATTGGACTGAAAGAAGTACTTTCACCTAGAAGGTGGAGTTAGTATTACTGGCTGGTTTGAGCTATGAAGCAGCACAAATGTACTTTTCTCATGTAGGATTGACCTACTGAACCCAACTTTCCAATCCACTCCCCTTTCCATTCACTTTATTACATGCCCTTTGAACAACTGGCAACCAAGAGAAGGGAAAATCCAATTTTTATGGGGTACTGAGTCAATGTTGAGGACTCCCAGGGCAACACCATCCCAATTAGTAAGTTTATGGATGATACAAAATTAGGAGGTATCATTGGCGAGGAAGGTTATCAAAAATTACAGAGGGATCTTGGTCAGATAGAGAAGTGGGCTGAGGATTGGCAAATGCAATTCAATACAGATAAGTGTGAGGTGTAGCACTTTGGAAAGTCAAATCAGGGTAGGACTTATACAGTAAATGGTAAGGACCTGAGGAGTGTTGTGGAATGCAGGGACCTAGGAGTACAAGGACTTCATTGAAAGCAGCATCACAGGTAGATAGGGTGGTGAAGAAGGCATTTAGCATGCTGGCCTTTATTGGTCAAGGCATTGAGTATAGAAGTTGGGACATTATGGTACAGTTGTGTATGTCATTGATGAGGCCACAGTTGGAGTACTGCGTACAGTTTTGGTCAACATATTAATGGAAAGACATAGTTAAACTGGAAAGTGTGCAAAGATTTACAAGGATGTTGCCAGGACTAATAGGCCTGAGTTATAGGGAGAGGTTGGCCAGGATAGGACTTTATTCCTTGGAACGTAGGAGAATGAGGGGTGGCCTTATTGAGGTGTATAAAATCATGAGGGGCATGGATAGGATGAATGTGTATAGTCTTTTTCCCAGGGATGGGAATTGAAAACTGGAGGGCATAGTTTAAAGGTGAGAGGGGAAAGATTTGAGAAGGACCTGATGGGCAACTTCTTCACATAGAGAATGGTGCATATATAGAATGGGCTGCCAGAGAAAGTGGTTGAGGCAGGTACTATAGCAACATATAAAAAACATTTGGATTGGTACATGGATGGGAAGGGTTTAGAGGGATATGGACCAAATGCGGGCAATTGGACTAGCTGAGTGGACACGATAGTATGGACCAGTTTGGGCTGAGGGGCCCAATTTTGGCACTAGCCCCCAGATGTTAGTGAGGACAACTTTACAGGGTTGGCAGGGCTGTCTCTGCCAGTGTCTTTTCTGGTGCCTAGGTCAATGCCAGGTGATCTGTCCGGTTTCATTTCTTTGAGACTTTGTAGCGATTGGTACAACTGAATGGCTTGCTAGGCTATTTCAGAGGGTAATTGAAAGTTGACTATGTTGCTGTGGGTCTGGAGTCATATGTAGGCCAGACCAAGTCAGGATGGCAGTTTCCTCCCCTAAAAGACATTAGTGAACCAATGGAACAAAAACAGAAGTTGCTGGAAAAGCTCAGCAGGTCTGGCAGCATCTGTGAAGAAAAAATCAGAGTTAACGTTTCGGGTCCGGTGACCCTCCCTCAGAACTCGTGGCAGCTGGGAAAACATCAGTTTATATGCAGAAAATAGGGAGGGGAATGGGGTAGGGGGTAAATGATAGGATAGAGCCTGAAGAGAGAGAAGAGCAGTTGTCTAGACAAATTATTGAACTCGATATTGAGTCCGGAGGGCTGCAGGGTCCCCAAGCAGAAAATGAGGTGTTGTCCTTTCAGCTTGCATTGAGCTTTGCTGGAACCCTGCAGTAAGCCAGAGACAGAGATGTTGGCCAGGGAACAGGTGGTGTGTTAAAGTGACAGGCAATGGGTAGCTCAGGGTCTATTTTGTGAGCAGAACATAGATGTTCTGCGAAGCGGTCATCCAGTCTACGCTTCGTTTCCCCAGTGTAGAGGAGACCACATTGTGAGCAGCAGATGCAGTAGACTAGATTCTGGGAAATGCAGGTGAAGTGTTGCTTCATCTGGAAGGTATGTTTGGGCCTTGGATAGTGGGGATTCCCCAGCAAAGTGGTTGACAGGGCCCTCAACTGGGTTCAACCCATCTCCTGCACTTCCGCCCTCACCCCCTCTCTTCCATCCCACAACAGCAATAGGGTTCCCCTTGTCCTTACCTACCATCCCACCAGCATCCACATCCAAAAGCTCATCAGATGCCATTTCTGTCACCTCCAGTGAGATGCCACCACCATATACATATTCCCCTCCCCTCCCTTGCCCACCTTCCACAGGGACTATTCCCTCTGGGCCACCCTGGTTCACTCTTCCTTCACCCCTAATACCCTGCCACAGCCCCAGGCACCTTCCCCTGCAATCAGCGAAGGTGCATGCCCACTTACCTCCTCCTTCCTCACTATTCCCTGGCCAACATCTTTGTCTCTGACTTGCTGCAGTGTTCCAGTGAAGCTAAACGCAAGCTGGAAGAACAACACCTCATTTTCTGCTTGGGGACCCTGCAGCCCTCCTGACTCAATATCGAGTTCAATAATTTTTAGGGCCTAAACTCTCCCATGTCCTAGCCCCCTGCCCACACGCCAGGGCTTGTTATTACATTGCCCACCATTACACAATATCTATTGTTAGTCACTAACAGTCCCCGTTAACAACTATTCACCCTCCTAGCCAGATTGTTATCAACTCCTTTGTCTAGCCAACTGCTCTTCTCTCTCTTCGGGCTCTATCCTATCATTTACTCCCTAACCCATCCCCCTCCCTATTTTCTGCATATAAACTGACGTTTTCCCAGCTACCATCAGTTCTGAGGAAGGGTCACTGGACCTGAAACGTTAACTCTGATTTTTTTTCTTCACAGACACTGCCAGTCCTGCTAAGCTTTTCCAGCAACTTCTGTTTTTGTTCCGGATTTACAACATCCACAGTACTGTTGGTTTTTATTTAGTGAACCAGATGGGTGTTTCCAACAATCGACAATAATTTCACAGTCATCAGTAGATTCTTAATTCCAGATTATTTTTATTGAATTCAAATTCCACCATCTGCCGTGGCGAGGTTTAAACGCCGGTCCCCAGAACATTAGCTGTGTTTCTGGATTAATAGTCTAGTGATAATACACTCGGCATTTGCCTTCACTCCAGAGACAGTCAGAGAAAAAAGATTCCTTTTCTGGAGCTGCTATATCTCAAGTTCAAACAAACTGCCTTTGAGAGTCTCTCAGACACACACACAGAATATCTTTCTGTACTTAAGGAATTTGGCACCACCTCTGAACAACAGTGTGAACCACTGGCAAGTAAAATCAAACAATATGAGGAGTAATGTTTCAATCATATTTGCCCACTCGATATCCCGTCACTTTGCAGGGTCCTGCCCCATATTACAATCTGTAGCGCGATGGGCTAAGTGTAAAACTGTTTCATTATTGCTTTAAATTAACTTATCTGTACATGTCATGACATCTGTGTGGCTGATAGAACTTGACCCTAAGTTTTCCAAACCCAGAGGTAGGGACACTACCACTTCATCGCAAAAGCCCTGAGAACTGTTTCTAGAGTGGGGAAATATTTCAGTTACTAATGCCATGTCTCAATGTGGTGCAGAATGTTAATGTAGATGGGAGGCTGTTTTGACTTTGACCTTTGCACTGCTGTGACTCATCTGGACAAAGAACAAGAGTAGGCCCTTGGATCCTTCTCTGCCATTCAATAAGATCATGACTGATCTTATTTTAACCTTTCCTGCACATCCCTAATAATCTTTCATTTCCTTGGTAATCAAGAATCTACCTCCCTCTGCCTTAAAACTATATAAAGGTTTTGCATCCACTGTCTTTTGAGGAAGGGGATTCCAATGACTAACAACCACCTGAAAGGAAAAAAATAATCTTATCTCTGTTTAAATGGGAAACTCCTAGTTTTATACTATGACTCTGAACGCTTTCTATAATGCGCAATAAGCTGAATTATTCATTAAAGCCATATAGTGACAGGAGTTCTCTGTGTGCTACACTACTTTAAATGGTCTCCTTAGGAACAACCTTTCCTGTTTAATGATGGAAGAATTCTGATTCATGAGATACGGGGCTGTGTAAAAATTAATCTGACATTCTTCACTGATACAGTGGCTCTCAGTTGGCTGGATGGTCAGTTTGTAATGCAGAATGATGCCAACAGCATGGGTTCAATTCCTGTGCTAGCTGAGGCTACCACAAAGGGCTTTCTGTCTCAACCTCTCTCCTCACCTATGGTGTGGTGACCCTCAGGTTAAAACAGCACCAGCCATCTCTGTCTATGAATCAGTCATCTCTGTGTATGAGAGACCAGCCCTATGGTCTGGTAGGACTATGGTGTCTTTATTTTATCAATAAATGTAGCAACATTGTGTGTTCATCTTAACCTTTCTGCAAACATTCTCTTTTAATCCTCAAAGGCAGAATGAAGAGTATGATGAAGGTCATTAATATTACGTGGGTCCTTGGATTCTAAAGTAAATAGGTTTTTGGTTTTCAGCTGTTATATGAAGGTGTGTGTTGATAAGGGTCAAAAACTCACATTGTTTAGCAATGATTCAAGACAACATTTCCAATAAATCATGTGACATAAGCTAAATGATTAGATGAGCTAAGTGTTGAGATAATTGCTGTAGTGTTTATTGAGTATTTACAAAATAAAGAAAGAAAAAGTAGGGCCAGAGGCCAGATGCTGGTACAAATCAGAAGAAAAGCTTTGTAACAGTAGATATGTTATTTAGAACCTTAACTGTAATCAAAGTCTTGAGTTTTATTTTCCTTAGAGACCAGTGAAAGAAATGAGTGTCTGCATTTCTCAGGGAGATACAGTAATGGAGCAAATCACATCTGCTGAATGTGAAGTAAACATTGTCAATTGAATTAGAAATTTTAAAGTTTTGGAGGATGGGAGAACATTCTGGCGTAAGAGTTGCTTTGTTTTTGAGGTATTTTCAGTGCTAGAGCTGATTTTCCTCGAATGTTTGGAGCAGTAGTGACTGTTTTATGAGCTGCTACATTGTTTTGGAACTTTGGGGAAAGAAAGAAACCAAAACAATGGCACTTTGAAACAGGAGGATGGAATGACTTGCCAGAGAAGTGCTGGAGGCTGGTACAATTACAACATTTAAAAGGCATCTGGATGAGTACATGAATAGGAAAGGTTTGGAGGGATATGGGCAAAATGCTGGCAAATGGGGCTAGATTAATTTGGGATATCGGTCAGCATGGACAAATTGGACTAAAAGGTAAGTTTCCATGCTGTACAGCTCTATGACTCTAGGTGAAAACAGGCCTGACACATCACTGGGATTGATTGTCCATAAAGGATATTGCTGGGGAAAATGTTTGAGTCTTTCCTTCTGTTCTTTATGATGATATTTCTGAATTGTCTTATATATATATATGTTTTGTTTCCCTTTTTTGGAATAATAAATTTATGTTTTGTTAAAATTCACTAGCAGCCTCTTGTGAATATGTTCAGTGACTCACCACCACGGTACCACCTTGTAAAAGATATTAGTCAAGCTTCATCAAGCTAAGCTTTTCTTTAGAATCTGACTTGTCCAGTATTGCTTCAGCTGGATTGTAACAGGAGTTTGACAAGAGTAAGGAGAAGCTTTCATTGGTGAATGGATCAGTAGAGAGTCATAGAGATATACAGTACAGGCCCTTCAGTTTAACTCATCCATACCAACCAAATATCCTATACAAATCTAGACCCATTTGCCAGCATTTGGTCCATATCCCTCTAAACCGCTCCTATTCATATACCTATCCAATGTTAAAATTATAACATTTTAAATGTTGTAATTGTATCAGCCTCCACCACTTCCTCTGGCAGCTCATTCCACACTCGCACCACCCTCTGTCCCTTAGGTCCCTCTTACATCTTTCCCTTTACCTTAGACTTATACCCTCTAATTTTGGACTCCCCCACCCCAGGGAAAAGACCTTGTCTATTTACCCGATCCATGATCCTCATGATTTTATAAACCTCCATAAAATAATCAGAGGACACAGAATTAAGTAATTGGCAATTCAAACCGGGTGGAGACGTGCAGAAAAAGTTTACATCGTGATCTGCTGTGATCTCATGTGCACTGCCTGAAAGTGTTGTGGAAGCAGATTCAATAGTGACTATCAAAAGGTGCTTGAATAAATGTTTGAAAAGGATGCGTTTACAGGTCATGCGGGAACAACAGGAAATGGGGAGAAAATACACCTTGTAGAATAATAGGTTTCCTACCAAACAATTGATGTGGGAGCAGATTTCCAAGAAGTCAGAATCACAATTTGTTATGGTGATTGTTTGTTCCTGACTGTATTCACCTTTTTTTGGAAGTGTGCAGCGATACTTTGGGTGGTTCAGATTCTCGGTACAACATTGAGAAAGGTTCAAGAAAGCATAAGGAACCAGGTGACAAGTTGATCCAATTGTGCCTTTGAGATTAGCAATGAAAAGGCATTGTTATCGTAAGATCAGCAATAGACTGAGGCAACAATCATGTGGAAGGGGAGGCAATGAATGAGTCACCTTCTTGCTCACTCCACTGGCAAATCCTGGGCTGCAAAAATGAAAGCATCACTCAATAACTACCTCTGAGACAAGGAATAAAAATCAGTAAATCATTTATTTATGAATATTGCAATAAATCTTGAAAAGCTATTTACACATGGAAATAAGTAATATTTTACAAACTGCGTCAATTGCAAGGCAAAGTGCACCAAAACAGTTCTTCATTCTAGAAGTGTGAGCTTATACTTAATAGTAAACAATGAATGACTGGGCCTTTTTTTGTTGTTATGATGAGAAGGCTGAGGTATGTCCTCTTGAATAGGCTCATAGAAATTTTGATAGAATAAGCACAGAAAGAACACTTGCGCAAAGAGAAAAGTTGGAGAAATTAGTAGAGGATGGAGAAATCAAATGGAGAATTCAGAAGAAACTTCTTCAATGGAAGAGGAGTGAGAATCTGAAACTCTACTACACTGAGCAGTTGAGACAAATAGTACGCTAATGTTAAGTGGGAGTAAGATAAGCATATGAGGGCACCAGGTATCCAAGATAATGCTGGTTCTGTTAGATGAAGAAGGATGAGAGTAGATGAATAGAGCATAAATGTTGGCATGGATTGGTTGGTCTGAATGGCTTGTTTCTGCGCTACATATTCAATGTGGCATGGCATGACTTATACTTCGAAATAACTGCAAGCTTGTCATTAAGTTTATTGACAATAGATTATAAATTTGCTCCAGTCATTAAGATAAAGGTCATTGAAATGTTTTTTTTTCCCAAAATGAAGCCAAGATTAAAAACTTGCTCAAACCAATAACTGTAACAAAATCTTCTCAATCTTTACCTCCCAAATTTGTGTAATATTGTGTATGGGTTCCACTAAGTAAGCGCATTAGGCATACAACTAACCTCTAATCTCCCTTAAGCCTGGCCACCATCTACAAGGCATAAATCAGGAAAGTGTGTTGGACTACTCTCCACACGGCTGGGTGGATGCAACTACAACACCGCTCAAGAAGTTTGGCACCATCAATGAGAAATTGATTGGCACAAATCTGCTACAAGATTTACTGCAGTAACTCACCAGGATTCCTCGAACATCATCTTCCAAACCCACAACCTTTATCATCCAAAAAGAAAGCAGATGCATGGGAACAGCACTGGCAAACAGTTTCCCTCTAAGCCACACACTATCCTGACTTAGAACTATACTGCCATTTCTTCACTGTCACTGGGTCAAAATCCTAGAACTTCCTTACACAACAGCACTGTGGGCATACCTAAACACCAAGGACTGCAGCTCACCACCACCTTTCCAATGGCAATTAGGGATGGGCAATACAGTGGCACCCACATCCCAGAAATGAATAGTTACTGTAAAACATCCCCACAGTGAAGTGCAATACATTTCATACAGAGATTACAGCTGCATCATGATCATATGACTGGTCTAGTAATGCAGCAGGACTGGATGAATATCCAGGAACACAAGTTAAAATCCCACCATTACAGCTTGAGAATTTAAATTCAAGAAGCTAAATCTGGGGGAGAAAAAGTGCAAATAGTGGGTCATTCTGAAAACCCATCAGGTTCACGTATAGCTCCTGTCCTTACTGGGTGTGGCCAATATATGGGCCTGGACTCACAGCGGTATGACTGATTCTTAACTATCACCCTCTTTCAGGAAATTAATGCAGGCATTAATATCACTAGTCATGTTCTGTGAATTAATAAAAATAAAACAAATGTCTCAGTTTTATCATAGAAGCTTAAACTATTGCCACGTCACATCCAATCACTGGGTGTTTTCTGTGTTGCAATGAAACAAATGTTCTAATGCAATTTTTTAAAGATAAATCAATCAGTCACGTATTCCTGGTCAATCACACCGACATTTCTCAGGTTAAACAAACACAGTCTCTAGCTGCAGTTCTTGTGCATTGAATTCTTCACAGGATTCCATTGCGTGAAGTAACTTTTCTGCCAATATTTCGATGCAGCTATAGTTGGGAAGGTCCAGGATCAAGTCACAGGTGTATGCGCGAGGGTATGAGGAATCTGGCTCCTCATTCTTGGTGTTCAGAATCATGATGCTAAAATTCTGAAACCCACCCACTGGGATTCTTTCACTTCCTGACAGAAAGGCTGAAAATGAGAAAAGAATAAACTTTCAGATTAAAGTTATATTCATAATTATGCAGGTCCATTTTTGGGTCCATGTATCAGCCTCAATGAGTACCAGGTTTCTCTGACATTAGTCTCTGCCTTCATTTCTATACCTTTGGCCTTCTTTGATGTGGGTGAATTAGAAGTGATTGCACAAAGCCGAGAAAATTCCAGACCCCAACTGCTCCTGTTAGTTCTATATCCTTATCTTTAAAGTGCACTTGATCCCCAAAGCACAATTAAAACAATAAGATGCCCTTTAAGACAGGTGGAATTTCACATATTCTATCAATAAGGAACAACTCTAATGCCAGTCCCTCAAAGATACATTGGAAGCAGTTCAGATTATGTTTACCAGATTAATACTCGGAAAGGGGATTCGATGTTAAATGAGCAAAGGTTGGACAAGCTAGGCATGTGTCCACTGGAGTGTACAAGATTAAGGAGTGACTTGACTGAAACATATAACATGCTGAGGTATCTTGACAAGGTGTGTATGGAAAGAATGCAACCTCCTATAGGACAATCCAGAATTAGGGATGAAAACAAAAAGTGCTGGAGAGACTCACAACCTAGTAATATTATTGCTGGACTATTAATCCAGCGACCCAGGTAATTCTTTGGGGACCAAGGTTCGAATCCCACCATGGCAGATTCAATGAAAATCTGAAATTAATTAACGATAACCATGAATCGATTGTCAAGAAAAACCCATCTGCTTCACTAATGTTCTTAAGGGAAGGAACCTGCCATCCTTACCTGTTCTGGCCTACAAGTGACTCCAGATTCAAAGCAATGTAGTCGACTCTCAACTGCCCTCTGGGATGGGCAATAAATTCTGGCCCAGTACCCACCACCACCCCCCTCCCCACCACACCACACCCCCTCCACTGATGCCCCCATTCTTCAAATGAATGATTAAAAAAGTCAGCAGGTCTGGTAATATCATGGAGTGAGAGAAACAGTTTTGAACAGTCATATCAGTCTCAAGACACTAATTCTATTTCTCTCTCCACAGTTGCTGCCCGACCTGCTGAGGTTCTCCAGCACTTTCGGTTTTTATTTCAGATCTCCTGCACCTGCAGTACTTTGCTTTCACTAGACCTGTTTAAAAATAAGGGGTGGCCCATATAAACCACAGGTGTGGTGATTTTCTTTTCTGTCTCAGAGGATGGAGACCCTCTGGAACTCTCTTCTGGAAAAGCTGGACCAGCGATTGATAGATTCTTTTTAAGTAAGCGGTAAAAGGCAATCGGGGTAGACAAGAATAAGGGTATGACATTACAGCCATGATTTTATTAAATGGCAGAGTAGGCTCAAAGGGCTGAATAGCCTACTGTTGCTCTTAGTTTGTATTTATTTGCATCATTATGCAGTAGCCCATTTGGACTGATGACATGAGAGACATTTTTAGATATTAATCGTTATCAATGCAATTAATATCATTTCAAGGATGAGGGAGTCCAGTTATTTGTACAGACCATAGATGCTGAGATTGTTCACATAAGGTAAGAGGATTGCTCACGTAAGACACACAAGCAAAGAGGAAATTTAAGGGTGCTTCAGCTTTTGAAGGGTTTGATTCAGAAGAAAGGGGAAGGTGCTTCCACTGCGAGGAAATCCTGTAATCAGATGTAGATTAAAAAGATTTGATGAAAGATTCAGAGGAGAAGTTTTATTGCAGTGAGTTGCTATGATCTCGAATGGACCAAATGAAAGGGCAATGGAACCAGATGCAATGGTCCTTTGAAAGAGGAGAAAAGCTCTGCCACGTTTCCTTCTACAAACAATGAAAAAAGCAGCCAACAAAAACAAAAATTGCTAGAAAAACTCAGCAAGTCTGGCAGCATTTGTGGAGAGGAATCAGAGTTCACGTTTTGGGTCCAGTAACTATTCTTCAGAAGAATGGTTCTGAGGAAGGGTCACTGGACCCAAAATGTGAACTCTGATTTCTCTCCACAGATGCTACCAGACTTGCGGAGTTTTTCCAGCAATTTCTAGTTTTGTTTCTGATTTCCAGCATCCGGAGCTTTTCAAAAGAAACAGCAAAAGTGAGTTGGACTAATTGGCTTGTGTCAACTTAACCAGTTTTAATCCACTAGGTAACCTTATGTAAAACCAAATCTATTGATTTCAGACTTCAAAGTTCTGTCCGATCCTACGTTAACAACGTCTTTGGTGTGTGCTCCAGGTTACTGATACACTTGGATAGCTCCATGAACAATCTCAATTTCACCAAACATAAACATCCTGGGCTAGGTAATCATCCATTAAATCACACGATGCTTACTTACCAAGAAATCTTAATTTCTTCTCTTTTGGTAACTGTTCGAAGACTTCCCAAAAATTCCTGACTGTTTTGTCAGTTTGTGAATATCCCTTGTATCTTGCATTCTGTAGATATAAAACACAGATTTATGGACATTGGCTGATACTTCCTTGAGTTTAGATGGTAGAATGATGATCTAATTGAAGTGTACAAAATAATTTAAAATGGTGACGGGAATTCTGAACTTTATTTTAGGGAACTGTCATTAAGGAACTGCATTAGGAAGGAATTTTACAGACAAAGTGTATCAGTAATCTGGAGCACAGACAAAAGACGGTGATAGTACAGGGTCAGATGGAATTTGGAAGACTGAAATTGACAGATTTGTGTTTAGGTAAGGTTGCCTAAAAGGGGAGGTGGTGGCCTACTGATATTATTGCTGGTCGTTGATCCAGAGTCACAGGTAATGTTCTGGGCACCTAGGTTCAAATCCCGCCACAGCAGATGGTAGAATTTGAACTGAATAAATCTGGAAATTAGGTCTGACGATGACCATGAACCCATTGTCGATTGTCAGGATAAAACCCATCTGGTTCACTAATGCCCTTTAGTGAAGGAGACTGCCATCCTTACCTGGTCTGGCCTACATGTGACTCCAAACTCACAGCAACGTGGGTGATGCTTAACTGCCCTCTGGGCAAATAGCAATGGGCAATAAATGCTGACCCAGCCAGTGACAACCTCACCCCGTGAATAAATTTAAAAATCCTAATGGATCAAAGCTGTTCAGATGTCAGTGGAAGTACAGATGAATCACAATCTAATTAAAATGTTGGAACAGGCTTGAGGAGATGTGACCTGCTCCTATTAAACTCCCACCCAATTGTACTTTCCACTGAAACTGGGTGGCTGATTGAATTTCAACTGGATAGTGTGGGCTATTAACAAAGAAATTTAACAGATTTTAATGAAGAATTGATGTGATTTGAAGTTTATAAACTATTTATTGTGACACTGCATTCATTCCTTGTACAGACAATAATTGTCAAGGACATTGAAAAGTAAGTGTGCAAATCAGTGCCATACCTGTTTCAGCAGCTCCCACTCGAAATTGTTTTGCCCCTGGATAACATTCCTCAGTTCTTCAGGTAGGAATATGTCCACCACCGGCAGTGCCGACTTCCTGAAACCTTGTGAAAAGGCTTCAAATTGTTTCTTCACGGATGTGTTAAGCTTATAATCCACATATGCATCAACATACTGTTTTCTGTTTGTAAAGAAATTAGGTTTAGAAACTGCATTTACATATAGTTTCTCAATTCAATTGCCCCTTGACCATGTAAACATCAAGAAATACAAGTCTATCTCCATTAATTTATGCTTATATCTACAGAATGCAGAGTTCTACACTATTATAGAACTTTGTATTTGACCTTACATCAGTCTCGCTTTCCTGGGTAATAGGATTGGACTACAACCGGACTACACATGCAGCCTTGCTCAGCGGTTAGCACTACTGACTCACAGCACCAGGGACCGGGGTTTGATTCCAGCCTTGGGCGACTATCTGTGTGGAATTTGCATGTTCACCCTGTCTCTGTGTGGGTTTTCTCCAGGTGCTCTGGTTTCCTCCCACAGTTCAAAGATGTCCAGGAAAGATTGGATTGTCTGTGTTAAATTGCCCCGTAGTGTCTAGGGATGTGTAGGCTAGTTGGATTAGCCATGGTAAATGTGTAGTTATAGGGTGGGATCTCTTTGGAGGCTCGGTGCAGACTCGATGGGCTGAGTTGCCTCTTTCTGCACTATAGGGATTCTATGAATATTGAAATTCAGGTTAATGAAAGCGCTACTTTGCTTGGATTGATTATCAATTGCACATTGTTCATAATTTGATTCTTAGTAATACATTTACATTTTGGTGTCTTCACCGCTAGTGACAATTCAAGAATTCCACACCATTTAAATCAGTGGATCTTCTTTCATAAAACTGGCTACAGGTAGTTTTTTGGTTCAGTAATCTTTAGAATGTAAGTTCAACGTGACAGTTTGCGAATCTGTGTCCAGATGAAGCAAGCTTCAGAATGAAAATCTCGTACCCATAAAAGAGATTGTGACAATGTCTGATTATTGCATAAATTGAATAAGTTCACTAATATGCTGTAGAAAGGAAGCCTGCCTTTGTTACCCTGACAGTCCTCTTCGTGACTCCAGTCTGATACTAAGACTGAGATGCACAAATTTGGTTAGGTAAGGATATCAAAGAATAAGACCAGTGGGCTGAATAGCCTTTTCCTGTTCCAATGATTCTTAACAATGATGTGTTAGCAAGCCATTCAGTTATATGGAGTTTTTGCAAGGAATAAGCTAATATCATCTAACATGTTAGCCAGTCACCAGTGTGGTTAATTAAATTTCTAACTAATCTTATAACACAGAAGTCCATCTTGTGGCTGTTGGCTCTTTGAAAATGCTACTTTTTTTTCTACTGCCTCTATTCTTTGCCCTGTGCCTTCCCAAATTTTCTTCTTAAAGCATATTAAATGTAATGATATTGATTTCTCATATTGGAGTAACAGTCATCTTTTGTAGCCTTTGCCAATTAAACAGGAAAAATGCCACTGAGTGATTCAGCCCGAGCTGACTTTAAAGCAACAGTCTCTTTGAAACTTCAGGAAATCTCCTTAAAACAGATGTCAGAGTATATATTTGGGAGAACTGTGATCAGTTGATGACATCAGCAAAAACATTCGGTTTAATCAATTCTGAATCTTGAGACAACTGACCTATTGGAAAGTGCACATTGGTGACAGTCACCAGGACAGAAATGTATTCAGCTGGGGTGCCTTCATTGTAAATAATTTATAATTTGTTAGCTTTACTTAAAAAAAAACTTATACAATATAATTTATAACATTACTTTGAAATGAATGGAAGGCAGGAGAGCCCACAACTAGAAAATAATTAGACTCGAGGATTGCGAGTACATTTTGAGTCACCACATTACAGGGAGGATATAATCAAACTAGAGATGGTACAGAACAGATTTATCTGGATGTTGCAAGAACTGGAGAACTTCACCCACAAGGAAAGATTAGATAAGTTGGCTTTTTGTGTGATATAAAAAAGTAGAGGTTTACTTGAGAAGTATAAGTATTTGAGGAGTGCAGACAGACATGGTAGGCTGAATGGCCTCTACTGGCATGTAAATTGCTATGATTCTATGCTCTAAGCTCACTTGTGAAGATTGACTGTCCTTGGAAAGTTGCAATGAGAGTTTCACTCTCGGAATACTGGGTTGACATCCAGTGGAGCAAACATACTCAATTGGAATGGAGTGAACGCTAAACCAAACTCATCAACCCCCACGTTACATCTAGTCAAGAGGGAGATGTGTCAGTCAAGCAATTTGGGCACATTATAGGACCTTCATTACAGAAGCAACTCAGACTGACACTAATTAGACGTAAATGCAGTCAAAGAAATGAGCTGTTACATGTCTAAAGAAGAGGTAGACGGATTGAGCACGTAATTGGAGAAGCTAATGACAACCACGAAACCAAACCACTGAGCAAGGCATTTCCTTCAGGAGACAAGGGATATAATTGGATGCAATTTGTATTACTGCATTATGCAACTACGCTTAAATCATACACAACAGTGGATGTCATTCCACACGACTGCCCTTGGAAAATCTGCTCTGTGTATCAGATAATCACATTTATAGAGTCATAGAGTCATACAACATGGAAACAGACCCTTCAGTCCAACACATCCACGCTGACCAGATATCCCAATCTAACCTAGTCTCATTTGCTAGCATTTGATCCATATCCCTCTAAATGCTTCCTATTCATATACCCACCCAGATGCCTTTTAAATGTTGTAATTATACCAGCCTCCACCACTTCCTCTGCAGCTCATTCCAGACACGTGCCACCCTCTGTGTGAAAAAGTTGCCCCTCTCACCTTAAACATATGTCCACATTTCCTAGGGTGGGACTCCCCCATCCTAGGAAAAAGACGTTGGCTATTCACCCCATCCATGCCCCTCATGATTTTATAAAAGTCTATAAGGTCACCTCTCAGCTTCTGACACTCCAAGGGAAAAAAGCCCCGGCCTGTACAGCCTTTCCCTATTACTCAAATCCTCCAGTCCCAGCAACATTCTTGTAAACCTTATCCGCTCGAGCTTAACAACATCCTTCCCACAGAAAGGCAACCAGAATTGTATGCAAATAAATGCATCCCCAGTCAAAGGGCAATTTAATTCAGTTATGATTGAATAGTTTATATTAATGAAGAGCATTTACCGATTATGCTTTTGAACAGGGGTATTGATGCCATTAGGAATGAGCTCCTTTATGACTCTGTTTCCATCAGCTGTTTCCTCAGATACCTGAAAACATAAAACACACAAAGTTTTTCTTTTTCTCCTGGCTTGTTCATGGTCCTTAACAGTGTTCTGAAGTAACATCAAACTTCATCACCTATTCGTTTAATTACATAATTCACATAAATCCAACCAAATCATTTCAACACTTTCAAGCCCAGAGTTGTTCTCCAGGTCAGGTTCTGCCCTCGGGGTTTAAGGATGGGGTAGGAACTGCACTCGGGCCTGGCCGGCCTCTGCTACGCTTACTGCAGATAAAGGCTGAGAAAGTGCAGGTTTCATTGGCCTCTCTTTTCTTTGGCCCTCTTAGTGAGCGAGATTTCCGTTTCTCCACTTCTCTTCCAACACTGGTCCAGACTTACAGCTTTCAAAGGTTCCTGCAGTTGTTTCCCAGCTATCTACCAATGTTCATCACCTTCATATCCAGCTGGCAAATGTCATTGGAGCACATAGGTGGACGTCCAGTAGGTTGGGACCCAGTGACTAGTTCACCATTCGGAAGGTCTTTAGATATACACCCATTGGGTGAACATGGCCAAGTCATCGCAGATGTCCCCTTAGGTAACATTTGCAAAGATTCAACCAAACTTTCACTTAGCATGTCAACAGAATTTCAATCACTGCAGATAGACTTAAGTTCATTCCCTTGAACTTTTGTTACCACAAAATTGGCCAAAATGAGTCATTGTTTTGATAAAGAATATTGTTGAACCAGATATGATTTCGGCACTGCCGTATATGGGGCTGAATGGCCTCCACTGAGCTATAAATTGCTACAATTTCATGTTCTAAGCTCACTCAAGAAGAATGACTGCCCTTGGAAAATGGTGATGAGAGTTTCATTCTTGGAGTACTGGGTTGATATCCAGCAGAGTACGCACGTCCAATGGGAATGGAGTGAACGCTAACCCAAACTCATCAACCCCCATGTTACATCTAGTCAAGAGGGAGACATTTCAGTCACGCAATTTGGGCACATGATAGGACCTTCATTACAGAAGCAACCCAGACCGACACTAAATAGAGGTAAATGCAGTCAAAGAAATGAGCTGTTGCATGTTCGAAGAGGAAGACTGACTGAGCATGTAATTGGAAGAGCTAATGACAACTACAAAACAATACCACCGAGCAAGGCATATCCTTCAGAAGACAAGGGATATAATTGCATGTAATGTGTATTATTGAGTCTCTCCATATCCTCTCCAGGCTAGCAACTGCCAAAGAGTCACAATCAGCAAAGCATTTGAGGGAAATCTGCTTCTGGGATGGATGAGCTGCTGCTGGATTCATAATAGGGTCCTAAATACCAACCCCCACCACCAACCCCCACCAAGTCTCCAAAGCCCCCCTCAGCCCTTCAGATATAGCAGAGTTCAGACGAATGAGCGACAATTTTATTGAAGCATATAAGATAGTTAGGGGGTATGACAGGGTAGATGCTGAGAGGTTGTTTCTTCTGGTGGGAGAGTCCAGGACCAGAGGGCATAATCTCGGAATAAGGGGTAGCCCAGTTAGGACAAAGATTGGGGTAGTGAATCTCTCTCAGAGGGAAGTGAATCTGTGAAATGCTTTACTGTAGATGACTCGAGATGTTGGGTCATTAAGCATTTTCAAAGCTGAGATAGACAGATTTTTAATCAGTAGGGGAATCAGGGGTTAAGGGATTAAAGCGGAAAAGTGGAGTTGAGGATTATTAGATCAGTGATGATTACATTGAATAGAGCCTTGATGGGTTAAATGGCCTACATCTGTTCCTATGTTTCATTGTCTTATTGACTGGAGTGCAGATTGGAATGAGCATTACTTGCACATGATTTATTCTGAATGGTCTACTCATGTTCCTTTGTCCCCTCCAGTGCGCATTGGTGGTCTTTCAATTTGCGTCAATTTGGTAATACTGTAGATTGAAAGTAAACTGATGTATTATGGGAACATAAACAGAAGTTGAGGGAAAAACTCAACATATCTGGCAGCATCTGTGAAGAAATAATCAGAGTTAATATTTCGGATCCAGTGACAAAATAGTACAGGAATAGACTTACAGTAAAATCCAGACACAGCAGTTCTTCAATATCATCATACTCATAATCAAGGACCTCCTGGAGTGAACTGCATTACCGAGAAAAAGCATAAAAATTGAAAGTTAGTAAGATTTGTCATTGTATTGCCAGTTTCAAAGCAAGATTTGTGTGAGGCTACGCAGCTAACTGCAAATTGTTAATTTCCACTGATCAGAAAGCATTGATCAAAACAGATTGCTTACTTAACGTTTTAAGTGATAATGTTCTGATTATGGTATTTTGAAAAACGGAATTAGTCCTACTTTTCCCCAGGATGTTGAACCAAGGATGAGAGGTGTAGTGATAAGAGGGAACAGCATTAAAGGTTAGATAATTTGGTGGATTCACTCACTTTCCTTCTGTTGGTGAGAGTTCCTTAAGATCCTCCAAAGTTGGTGGCACATGGAGCAACTTTTTGTATAAAGCCAATGGGAAGTTGAAATTGCAAATTAAACAATTGGATACAGCAAGTCCGCAGAGAATTCCCATCAGATGAATTACAACATCCATTTCTGGTTCCTGTGTGTAGCACGAAAAGACGAGAAATTGTAAGATCATTCCTTGCAAAGTCTTCACAATACTTCCGAACAAAGAAGCAGATCATCGATTCCCTACAGTGTGGAAACAGGCCATTCAGCCCAACAAGTCTACACTGCCCTCTGAAGAGCATCCCACCCAGATCCATTCCCTTAATTTCCTGTGTCTAACCTAAACATCCCTGGGCACTGTAGCATGGGCAATCCACCTAACCTGCACATCTTTGGACTGTGGGAAGAAACCAGAGCGCCCAGAGGAAATTCACAGGGAGAATGTGCAAACTTCACACAGACAGTCACCTGAGGCTGGAATTGAACCCAGGTCTTTGGTGCTGTGAGGCACCAGTGCGAGCCACTGAGCCACTGTGCCGCCCTTAAAGCTTGCAGTCAAGATTGAGTGGTCCATGCCCTTCATGGCATCCCTCGGAGGCAAACACCCAATGTGAATGCTCGCTGAATCCAGCTCCAATCAGGTATTAAGAGCTGACCAGCAAGATTCCCAGCCAATCACAAGACTCAACGTTGCAGAAGCCACTGGCCCATCAGAGGCTGTCAGCCTCTGGGTCCTAGAGATTGTTGCTGGAGGTCTAGGCTTTAGGGAATTCAATGGAGAGAAGGCAGGTTGTTTTCGTTCGGGTCTCGCTGGGTGGGGAAAATTGTGGGGAGAGGTGGGTCATGGGGCTTGGAGCCAAGGACAGAAGATGGCTTCAGTGGCCGCTGCCTGGCCAGAGATAGTGGCAAATGAAGACCCAGCATTCATGTGGCCCTGATGTCCCTGTTGGGAAACCATCTACTTTTCCAATCTGCCAGGAAGAAAATAATCATGCTGATGGTGAGCTGAGGCTTTACGTTGCCGTTATTTAAGGCCCTTAATAGACGGTGACTTTAGAAAGTCCCGAGTTGACCTTTGTCCCCAGCACATAATTTCTGAGGTGATAAGAAGGTGATGAGTATCTCTCCAGGGCCAACTTGCCCAGTTATTTGCCCTTCTCACCACCATTCTTGTTACCTCCAGGAAGGGGTAATTACACCCTGAGTTGACACCACAGGAGAGACTTTTGGATGATGTGCTCACAAAAGGCAGCCTCACCCATCAGAAGAGCTCACTGGAAATCTGGATATAAGGCCCACATAATTTTGCAATCGTTTATCAGAATGACAAAACTCCTGCAGACTATGAAATGTGCTCTTGATGGGTAAGGTTCCCTACATGGAGCACTAAATTTGCAAATCATTCTTCATAACACAACTACTGTTGATCTTAAATCTAAACTGAACCAATGTTATGCAATTTATCTTATCATTGCTTTTTTTAAATGGTTTGCATACACCATTGGTCTGGTGCAAGAAATTACATCATACTCACATGGTCTTTCAGGGATCCATAAGATCATCTCTTTTGCAGTTAACAAACCAACATACTCTTATATAGAAATCACCATAGAATTCCTCAACTACTTTTACTTTTGTAACTAAATATTTTACCTCTTCACATTCCATTGCTGAAATACAATCTCTGATTGAGGACAGTTATACAGTTTTCCATAGGAAACTTAAGGGCAGATTCTTATGACACAGGGACTTGGAGTTATAGAGTCATACAGCACGGAAACAAGCCCTTCAATCCAACTCATTCACACTGACCAGACATCCCAATCTGATCTAGTCCCATTTGCCAGCATTTGACCATTGTCCTGCTAAATCCTTCCTATTCATATACCCATCCAAATGCCTTTTAAATGCTGTAATTGTACCAGTCTCCACCGCTTCTTCTGGCAGCACATTTCATGCATGCACCACCATCTGTGTGAAAAATTATCCCTCAAGTCCTTTTTAAATCTTTCTGCTCTCACCTTAAACCTAAGCCCTCTAGTATTGAACTCCCCCGCCCTAGGTAAAATGACCTTGGCTATTTACATGTATTTGGAAAGGCAAGAACTGATTGGGAATAGTCAATATGGCTTTGTGCATGGGAAACCATGTCTCACTAACTTGATTGAGGTTTTGAAGAAGTAACAAAGAGGTTTTATGAGGGCAGAGTGGTGGATGTGATCTATGTGGACTTCAGTAAAGCGTTCGACAAGGTTCCTCATAGTAGACTGGTTCGCAAGGTTAAATCACATGGAATACAGGGAGAACTCGCCATTTGGATACAGAACTGGCTCAAAGGTAAAAGGCAGAGGGTTGTGGTGGAGGGTTGCTTTTCAGGCTGGAGGCGGTTGCTTTTCAGGCTGGAGGCCCGTGACTAGCGGTGTGCCACAAGAATCGGTGCTGTGTCATCATTTTCATCATTTATATAAATGATTTGAATGTGAACATAGGAGGTATGCTTAGTAAGTTTGCAGACGACGCCAAAATTGGAGGTGTAGTGGACAAAGAAGGTTACCTCAGAGTACAACAGGACCTTGATCGGATGGGCCAATGGGCCAATGATTGGCAGATGGAGATTAACTTAGATAAATGAGAGGTGCTGCATTTTGGAAATGCAAAACAGGGCAGGACCTATACGCTTAATGGTAAAGTCCTGGGGAGTGTTGCTGATCAAAGAGATCTTGGAGTGCAGATTCATAGTTCCCTGAAAGTGGAATCCCAGGTAGATAGGATAGTGAAAAAGGCATTTGGTATGCTTGCCTTTATTGGTCAGTGCATTGAGTATCAGAATTGCGAGGTCACGTTGTGTCTGTACAGGACATTGGTCAGGCCACTTTTGGAATACTGCTGGTCTCCCTGCTTTAAGAAAGATGCTGTGAAACTTGAAAGGGTTCAGAAAAGATTTACGAGGATGTTGCCAGGGTTGGAGAATTTGAGCTATAGGGAGAGGCTGAATAGGCTGGAGCTATTTTCCCTGGAATGTGGAAGGCTGAGGGGTGACCTTAGAGGTTTATGAAGTCATGAAGTGCATGGATAGGGTGAATAGCCAAGGTCGTTTCCCCGGGAGCGGTGGTGGTGGTGGTGGTGGTGGGGGGGGGGGGGGGGGGTGGTGCGGAGTGGTGGTGGTGGTGTGCAAAAATAGAGTGTGTAGGTTTAACGTGAGAGGGGAAAGATTTAAAAGGGATCTATGGGGCAACTTTTCACACAGAGGGTGGTGCATGTATGGAATGAGCTGCCAGAGGAAATGGTGGAGGCTGGTACAATTACAACATTTAAAAGGCATCAGGATGGGTATGCAAATAGGAAGGGTTTAGAGGGATATGGACTAAATGGATTAAATTAGGATATCAGGTCAGCATGAATGAGTTGGACCTAAGGGTCTGTACAGCTCTATGACTATACTCAACCTATCCATGCCCCTCATGATTTCATAAACATCTATAAGGTCACCCCTCAGCCTCCGATATTCCAGAGAAAAGTGCCCCAGTCCTGGCAACATCGTTGTAAACCCTTTCTGCACCCTGTCAAGTTTAACAACATCCTTCCTACAGAGAATTGAACACAGTATTCTAAAACAATATAATCTGGCAAATTGTTCAAATACCAGTAGCAAACAGGATGTCCATACCAACCGGAAGAATTGTTGGAATAACAGCCTTTTCTTAACTTTTTTCAGCGTATCAGGGTTCCGGTCCTCAAGATCGTGTCTACTAAAATCCACGATTCCTGGGTACCGCAAGTACAAAAGGGGAGGAAGAAGTTCTGATGCATATCTTTACATGTCATGAGGTATCATAAGCCTTACCTCATTCGGAAACCAAAGCAACCCAGAATCTTTGGAGCGCTGGAATATCCGCCCGTTGCCAAGCAGCTCCCGACTAAGGAGGGTGAAGAATTCCTGTGTTATCCCTTTGCCATAACATGATTCACCTTCAAACATGACCTGAAATGGCAGCAGCATCAAGAGTAAAACATTAACACACTCCAAAATATTTGGGAAGATCTTCCTGTTTACATCCTTTGGTGTTTGCTCTTCCCTTTTTGTACAATATTGTCCAAGGATATATATGAAATGGCAGCTGATAAAAACACCAAAATACTTGAAACAAAAACAGAAATTGCTGGAAAAGCTCAGCAGGTCTGGCAGCATCTGTGGAGAGAAAGCAGAATTAATGTTTCGGGTCCAGTCATCTTTCCTCAGTTCTGTTTTTGGGCAGATGGAGTGCTGAGTTTTTGATTTTTTTGCTGAGTTTTTTTCCAGCAAATTACTGAGTTTTTCCAGCAATTTTTGCTTTTGTTTCTGGTTTCCAGCATCTGCAGTTCTTTTTTTTTTATTTAATGCTAAATTACTTGACCTTTTTTTCCTCGAATAATCACATTTCCATTAATTTGAAGTTAAGATCTGATAAAAGTCTCCACATATACAGAAGGTTAGTTGATCCCCCAATGGATTGCAAACAAGGAATCAATTAACTATAAGTTTATATAATGTCTTAACAGACTTGGCACGAAAGATCATTGGGGCCTTCCTGCAGATTTTATCCATATGAGAACGGCAGGAATCAATGATCAAAAAACATGGAGCTGCAATTTACCAACTCACGTGGGAGAGTTCACAGGGATAGGGAAAAAAAAAAATCAGAGAAAAGTGGCCACCGTCAATAGAATGGAAGGAAACGGTGAGCAGCTCACTTGGGAGCCCATCAGCAGTAAATGTGATTGGAAGAACAATCAGCTGTTAGGTAAATAAATAGCTGAAGGAGTAGTTGGGGGTGTCTATAGCCAAGTTGGGAATGGGAGCCTTTTGCCAGAACCAAGATTTCCCTCTGCTGACTCCAGGCTAGGGAATTTGCTGGATGTCGAAAGTGTTGGTTGAAGAGCAGGAGGCAGCTGAAAAGGGGTTGGGGTGGATGGGGAACGCAGCAAGATGGGAGTGAGGAGGAAAGAGGGGGTCTATAAGCGTGTTGTTGGGGAAGAACAAAGATGAAAGAGGGTTATAGGGTGAGGTGGGGAGAAAAAGGCAGCAAGATTAAGGAAGATGCCACAATGTGGATGGAGAAGAAGGTAAAACAAAGAGGGAACAGTTTTATAATTATTGACAAATGAATACTTGGTTAACTGAGAAAACATTAAATTACCGCATAGATAGAGTGGATAGTCAGAGACTTTTTCCCAGGGTGGAAATGACCATTACGAGGGGGCATAATTTTAAGTTGATTGGAGGAAGGTATAAGGGAGATGTCAGAAGTGGTCGGTGTGTGGAATGCGCTCCCGGCAGTGGTAGTGGAGTCAGATACTTTAGAGACTTTAAAGTGACTCTTGGATAGGCACATGGAGGATAGTAATATGTAGGGTATGCAGGGTAGATTGATCTTAGTAGGATAATAGGTCGGCACAACATCGTGGGCCGAAGGGCCTGTGCTGTGCTGTACTGTTCTATGTTCTATGTTGTACTGAGATAATGCATTAATCGCAATTGAATGTTTCAACTTTATGCATACGTGATAGAAACACAGCAGCTGTGATCTTACCAGACTGGGCATGGTGTGATTAGGGTGATGGTTTTTTTGTGGGTAGTAGTGTATGGGGGTTGTTTTGTAAGAAAAACTTTTGTTGTTAAATTATGTTTGCTGTCATATACCAATTCAGATACAGTGGTATCAGGGATATTATTGGTTTGCTTGTGTGCTGTAGCTTTAGGTTTAATAGAGAGTTAATTAGGGGTAGTGATGAATTCTTCTAATTTTATTTTTGTCCAAGTCCAAATACCTGAAACGACAACTATGTGACTACAGCACCTAATAAATATGTTAGTGACAATGTAAAGGTAGACACTAAAAGTCATAAACATTGTCTTCCAGAAAATCTCAAGAGGAGCCTTTGAAAAGAATAATATTTTGACCCCTGGTAGGAGCAAACTAGGGATTGTATGAATTGAGATTGATCACTGTTCTAATCTGCAGAGGACATTTGTCTTGTTTAAGGCAGAACTTCCATCTGCTCTGAATAGCATCATATGCTGCATGCCTGGAGGAGGGGGGTTTGTGTAGGTTGACAGGGTCTAGGAGCAATTTAGGGCTCACCAAAGGTCCATAATGTGACACCTGTGGGACTCTTGCTGACAGATGTGGAACCTAGGAATCTACCAGTGACTCTTGACTTAGGACTCCTCTGGACTCCTGAACTATTTTGTGTCAGACTCCAGGCTTAATCACCTGTTGTTGCAAAGGGACTGATACACATGCCAAAAACCAGTTGGGTTGAATTGCTCATGTAAATAATCAGTGACTGATCAGAGCTTCTTATTTTGCTTTTAAGCTCTTTGGTCCACTCTAATCTTGTCCGTAGTGACAGATCAAAGGCTCTCAATATTCAGTCAATGTCTATGTGCATTTGCCGCATTTCTTGACTATAGCCATTATGCTCACATTTATAATCAAAACGGCTTATGTAAACATGTCACTTTGCAATTGTACCCACCTGCCAGTGGTGGCACTATCACATTCCACTGAGGTATTGCTGGGTTCCGCTATACTTCTCAGTGTCCCATATTATGAATTAACTATAAATTGGGCCAAATCTAATAACTATATAAATGTAAGTAAAGAATGTATAATTTTAAAGCAGAGACAAACGTACATCGTGCAACCTTAAATACAATTGTCCCCTTGTCGTCTAACCCCACTTCACCTCTGGACCACGCTTGGTTTCAATGCAACACTTTTGGAGATCAATTGATCATGCATTAAAAATCCTCAACAAAGTCTACAAAATGTTATTGCTGTTACTTTTTGAAACACTTTTGCATCACCTTTTCTGTTCTATGTGGGGTTTTAAGTAACACTGCCAAATTACAATCACACTTCCCTGCCCCAGCCTCTCTACTGGCTGAGGTAGCCTCCAAACTCCTGAGACTATACTGTGGAAAATCAGCTTTGCCAAACTGTCACAAGTTTTGCCAGAACACTGGTCAAAAATAAAGACTTTAAAATGGGATCTGAATTATATTGTTTCAGTGTGTATGCAATGCCAATAGATATTAATTAACATGTAAAATCTATTTTCATGTAGTCGTTGATAGTTGGTTATTAGATAGAAAAGATATTTCACACGTGAAAGAAATTTTAATCACTCATTAGTGACCCAGTTTTGTACCTTAAGTTCAGCACAGTAAGGAGTCGATCTGGATGATTTTAAGCCTTCCAGTGCATTCTGCAGAATTACTTCCCTTGAAACCTGCAGATGAATCGGTTCCTTTAGATTTACCTGAAAGAAAGACAGACTTATGTTTATGAAGCACTTTTCAGGACTATCATACTCTATAAGCACTTTACAGCAAATGTATAATTTCTGTGCAATGCAAGAAACGGGACAGCCACTTTGCACATAAATAACAATTTAACCTGTTTTTGTGTGTGGTTGAGGGATAGATTTTGGCCAGTTCGACCAACTCTACTCTATCCCAACAGTGCCATGGGATACTTATGTTGACACAGTAGCTTGTTGAGCACTCAAGGCACGTATGCACTTGCATGAACATTTTTGATAGCTGATTTTCTACAGTATAGGCTCAGGAATTTGGAGGCTGTTTCAACCAGTAGGGAGACTGGAGCGAGGAAATGATATTGCAATTGTGTATCTTGATATCAATGACTGGTAGGCTGGGATTTATAATTGAGAAGTTGATGCAAAAGAGTGACAAAAAAAGTGACAGCAGGAAGTAAGATTTTGCTGACTTTGTTTCAGATTTTTAGTTCATGATCAATGGATCTCCTATAGTATTTCACCTAAACTAATGCCCTCCCATTAACCCTGCATGCTCTGATGTATGAGAGGACACCAGTGAGATCAATCTCAATACAATTGCAAGGTGGGCAGCTGACAAAAAAAAAGTGCCAAAGTTAGCTAACAATGAGAGCTTCTTCCAATACAATTTGTGATATATCCAAAAGCCCTTGATGTGCTGCTATATTGGAATGAGCTTCAGTCTGCATGTTAAATATGGGCATTTAATCATTAGGCTACGTTTCTACATAATGCAATTTTCATACATAACATTACCAATAGGTTCAATTCCATCTGCAATATTTGAAGCTTTGTTTCCATATCGAAGACGCAAGGATATGCAAACAATTGGTGTTGTATCTATGGAAGAAGCACATTATGTATGTTAAGTAAATTGCCTAAGTTTGTTTGTGTCTGTTTTACAATCAGAAATAAGTGTTGCTCAGATAAATGTACTTAATAACATGTATGTAAATAGAAATAGAAATACCTACCAATTGCTTTTAACACTTTCACAGCACAGGAAAAATTAACCTGGGTTTTGTTAAACTTGCACCATAGTGTATTGCAACTTGGTTTCTTTGTTCATATGTGAAAATATTCCCTGTAGCTGGGGGACTTTTTTTTGTGTCGAACCCTAGCTACATTAGTTTACATATCATTTGGTGCAATGTGCATTATTTTGTAGGTTTCCATAATTCTGCCTTTTAAGTCACAAAGGTTCACTCTTATTTTTACCATGAAAATAAAAGTAATACTAGGATGGGATGGGATGTGAGCATAAGAGATTTGGTTACTAATTCTGCAGGTGACACCAAACTTGGAGGTGTAGTGGACAGCAAAGGAGGTTACCTTAGAACTCAACGGGACCTTGAACAGATGGGCCAATGGGCTGAGGAGTGGCAGATAGAGTTTAATTTAGATAAATGTGAGGTGCTGAATTTTGGAAAGGCAAGCCTGGGCAGGACTTATATAATTGATGGTAAAGTCCTGAGGAGTGTTGCTGAACAAAGAAAGCTTGGAGTGCGGGTTCATAGATCCTTGAAAGTGGAGTCCCAGGTAAATAGAATCGTGAAGAATGCATTTGGTATGCTTGCCTTTATTGGTCAGTGTTTTGAGTATAGGAGCTGGGAGGTCATGTTGTGGCTGTAGAGGACATTGGTTAGGCCTCTTTTGGAATACTGCATGGAATTCTGGCCTCCCTGTTGTAGGAAGGATGTTGTGAAACTTGAAAGGGTTCAGAAAAGATTTGCAAGGGTGTTGCCAAGGTTAGAGGGTTTGAGCTATAGGGAGAGGCTGAATAGGCTGGTGCTATTTTCCCTGGAGTGTCAAAGACTGAGGGATGACCTTATAGAGGTTTATGAAGTCATGAGGCACATGGATAGGGTGAATAGCCAAGGTCTTTTCCCCAGGGTGGGGGAGTCGAAAACTAGAGGGCATAGGTTTAAGGTGAGTGGCGAATAATTTAAAAGGGACCTAAGGGGCAACTTTTTCACACAGAGGAAGTGTATGTATGGAATGAGCTACCAGAGGATGTGGTGGAGGCTAGTACAATTACAATATTTAAAAGACGTCTGGATGGGTATATGAATGGGAAGGGTTTACAGGGATATGGGACAAATGCTGGGAAATGGGACTAGATTAGGTTGGGATATCTGGCCAGCATGGACAAGTTGGACCAAAGGGTCTGTTTCCATGCTGTGCAGCTCTATGACTCTATAAAACCAGTTATGTCTGTTTTAAAAACATGTTTCGACAAAATAATGAATGATTCCCATCTGAAAAGTTTCACCCCATTTTGATGTCCCATTGAGATTGTTTTACCGCCTTGATTCACCAATTGTCTTCGAATGCAGGAGAAAGCGAATCTCAGATCATTTCGTAAATGCTGTGAATAATTGTAAGCAAATGTATTTGAATGATAAACTAGAGGGATCATCTGTCAAATACTTCAGCTTAGGGAACCCAAATAACGTTTGGTAAATGTGGTCTGTTAAGGGCCACAGATACTGGTGTGAAAACAAAATTGGCAAAAATAGGATCTATCAGAAATCAGGGCAGGAATTCTGGATCCAAACACCTGATGTTAGTTTGCATAAGTGTGGTGCCCCCATGAGTCTGTGAAAATCTAGGCAATTAAGTCATCTTTGTGACAGGAGGAGACCATTCATTGTGTCAACTGTGTACCAGTTCTCCATACAGCAATGCAATCAGCCCCATTCCCCAGCTCTATGCCTGTGAGCTTATTTCCAAATTCACATCCAATTCACTTTTAAAGTCATTGCTTGCCATTGCTTTTACCACCCCTATTGACAGCAGGTTGCTAATTTTAAATCTGAAATAAGATACATTTTTGTTCAGCAAAGGTATTAAGGGATAGGGGCCAAAAGCAGGTATATGGAGTGTGATCACAGATCAGCCATAGGTCTCACTGAATGGTGGAACAGGCTTGAGGAGTTGAATGACCTTCTCCTATACTTTTGCAAGGAGCCTTCAAGTCCTTCCTGACCCTCTCAGTTATGGACATAAACTCCACTTAAATGAAGTTAGAATTCTCAGTAGGCTCACAGTGAGGAAGTAACAAGCAGGACCCAAGCTAAGGGCTCCACAGAACTAACTCAGAAGAAGAGGCCCACACCTTCTCATGGTTAGGCTTAGTGTGGCTTGAGAGCAGGCCTCCTGACTTCTCCAGACCTCCAATCTATTTCAGGGAGGAAATTTTAAAAAGTACCAAATGATTATTATTCACAAAAACAAACATGCAACACAGACAACTTACTGTGAGCAGTGCTGAGAAGAATTGCTGAACCTTAAGTTCAGAAAATGCATTGCCGCTCATTAACTGTGAAGAAAACACAACGCCAACATGACAGATCAGATTTACTTCAGAGTGCCCAAGAAACAAACAAGTGTTTTACTTCTACAAACATATTGGTTTTGCTGAGAGACAAACACCGCTTTGGTGAAACATTTCATTAGAATGGGAAAATCTTGAGACCACAAGTATCAATGAAAGGTGGATAAGAATGAAACCTTTCGTCTGATTGCAATTCAGCCTCTTGTGTTATCAGTTCTTAATATTAATTCCTAATCTTTTTTACTTCTTTTTTGTCAAGTCAATGTGGTTTTGCTTTCACTGCAGACTGAATATTTGGAACAAAACCACCTAGAATTTCATACTGTTCACTGAATAGATTATAGAGCCGTCCAACTGAAACAGAATGTCATCATGTCTGCTCAGTTTATTATAGAATAGAATAAAATCCCTACAATGTGGAAACAGGCCAGTTAGCCCTACAAGTCCACACCACCCCTTCAAAGAGCATCCTACCCTGACTCATTCTCCTACTCAAGCCTAACACACCTAACCTAAACATCACCGGCAATTTAGTACAGCCAATCCACCTAGCCTGCACATCTTTGGACTGTGGGAGGAAACCAGAGCAAACCCATGCAGACATGGGAAGAATGTACAAACTCCACACAGACAGTTGCCTGAGGGTGGAATTGAACCTGAGTCCCTGGTGCTGTGAGGAAGAAGTGCTAATCACTGAGCCACCGTGCCACTCAGGATTGATTGCAGAATTAATTTGAAGCAGTTAATTTTAGGAAGTTAGCAATTAAGTTAGTATAAGTAATCGAGAGAATTCTAATCTCATCACAGTAGTTTGAGAATTTGATCTCCATCTTTAAAAATCTGGAAGTAAAGTTATGATCAGTAAAATGTGGCTGCAAAGCTGTCACATTGTCTTAATAACTCAATTGTTTTCTGAAGTCCTTTTAGTTTTTTTCAGGTTTACACCAACATGATTGACTCTTACATCCCAATGTTATATTACATTAAATCAGCTGTTACCACTTCATCCTTTGAAATTCTCCACCACCATCACCATCTCAGTCACATCAGAGCAACTCAGGGTGGGCAATAAATGCTAACCTTGCCAGTGATGCCCATATCGTAAGAATTAATTTTGCAACAATCAGGCTGGAACAGACTGCCACAACTGCTCATAGCACTGGCAATGTAAACTGACACATTGCAATCCCCTATTGATCGCCAGCAAGAAGTGATAAAAAAATTGTTGAAGATTTTTGTTTTCATAAAGCCTGGGATTTTAACTAATTAATCTCATCCATCATTTCCATGGCCCAATATTTGAGATACATTCATGACAAAAGATGCAAATGGATCAAACACATTCATTTACCATGTCCTCAATCATAAGGAATTAATTCATGATTTTATCTAAAATTTTTATAAATGTTTATCTCTATTCACTTTTTGGCCATCATCATATATTCTGTATTCATTTAAAATGTACCTGATCAGTCATAGCTTGGAAATTGCCAAGAAACCACTTCTCCAAAAAGGCCTGAAAACAATGACATGAAAATAAGTAAAAGTGAACATTCATTGAGATTGCTTTGTGCATGAGGCCAACAAATATTAAGCTAAATCTAGCATGGAGAAAATGACAGCATTGCCGTTCACATTGCTACACATTTTTTTTTTTAAGTTGCCAACAAAAATAACCTTCATCTTTCCAATCTGTCCAAACCCCTTTCCACAATGAAAACGTTCTTGTCTGTACAACAGACAGAGTAGAAATGGCAAATTGGTAAGTAAAAGTATGTCTTAATATAACATGAAATTAATTTCAGCTCAGAATCTCTCCACATTACAAGATCATTTAGAGCGTCTCATAGAAAAATGGGTAGGCCATTCAGGCCATCAAACTTGCTCAGCAATTATAATGTCTCTCTCCACATATATACATATACACACACTCTACCAATACCTAATCAGCATTCAAAGTTAATTGTATATTTTTTTATGGTAATGGACAAACCATGGAACAATGAGGGTGAATGAGATATGTGGCAAACTGTAAAGATCTGGCTGAGAGATTGGTGAAACAGATTAGATTTAGAAATATTCATCCACCTACCATCACAGAGTCCGTCAAATTTTCCATCACAGGAATGCAAAAGTTTCTGTCTGGGATCTTTGCATGTCTGCTCGAATTTACCTGCCAGCATAGAATTAAACATAGGTTAACATTTTTGTGATTAGTCCAGGAGTAATTTGGGTTTATTAAAAACAATGTGCGTAGGAAGAACAATTGTCTTTGGACTTATATTTCTAAAAACTTTACACAGTCCCTCTAAACTAAATTGTGCAGCTGTGGGTATTTAAAATGGAACAAATCCAGTTGGAACCTTTTAGGCTGCTGCACAACTGCATACTCATACGGTCTATAACGTCCATTGGATACTATAAGAAAACAGGGCTTGGGAAAGGACAATTGGTCCATCAAGTACCATTCCACATAACATACCATATACAATTTGCTCTGTTACGGTCTAAATTGAAATTATTTACTCCTGAACAATGACAAGGATGACATCTAAGTGCAAATGTTGAGGGCTGATTTGGAGAATTCAGTGTGACACCAACTCAACCATTGTGCTGGAACATTATGTGCAATGCAATGCTGATTTCCCAATCAGAGCATTATACAACACTCACATTTTCAGTTAACATTAGGAAACAGGCAGGGTTGGATTGAATGGCCATTTCTCTCCCAGTCTCGCTTTACTTTAACTTGCCATTGGTTTCAGCACAGTGTAGGCCTGAACTGGTGTGTGTGTGTGTGTGTGTGTGTGTGTGTGTGTGTGTGTGTGTGTGAGAGAGTGGGGGGATTGGGGGGTTGGGGGAGGAGGGGGGGGTGGTGGGGCTGTTGTGTGGTGCAGAGACGTCCACTACCTGCATACAAGTCCCACCTGCTTCAAAAATGTGTCACAACCTGCCTAAGCAGGTTGATTACAAATCTCTACACTCAGAATGGATGTGGAATGAGTGTCCAAACTGAACTTGTCCTGTTCCTGGTGGGCAGGTTAGATTAATATTGAGACCATTATGTCTGTTCAATAATTGGAATCTACATTACTCAGCCCTGATATGCAACGACAGTTCTGAATTCACAATGCCTTTTTATATGGAGTAAAACATTCCAAAGTGTTTCACAGAGAAAATAAACAACCAGCAAATAATGCTGACTCAGAGATAGTAGGAACTGCTGATGCTGGAGAATCTGAGATAACAAGGTGTAGAGCCAGCTGAACACAGCAGGCCAAGCAGCATCAGAGGATCAGGAAAGCTGACGTTTCGGGTCTGGACCCTTCTTCAGAAATGGGGGAGGGGAAGAACAAAGAAAATTACAGCATAGGAACAGGCCCTTTGGCCCTCCAAGCTTGCGCCGATCCAGATCCTCTATCTAAACCTGTCGCCTATTTTCCAAGGATCTGTATCCCTCTGCTCCCTGACCATTCATGTATCTGTCTAGATACATCTTAAATGACACTATCATGCCCGCCTCTACCACCTCTGCTGGCAATGCGTTCCAGGCACCCACCACCCTCTGCATAAAGAACTTTCCACGCATATCTCCCTTAAACTTTTCCCCTCTCACCTTGAAATCGTGACCCCTAGTAATTGAGTCCCCCACTCTGGGGAAAAAGCTTCTTGCTATCCACCCTGTCTATAACTCTCATGATTTTGTAGACCTTAATCAAGTCCCCCCTCAACCTCAGTCTTTCTAATGTAAATAATCCTAATCTACTCAACCTCTCTTCATAGCTGGCGCCCTCCATACCAGGCAACATCCTGGCAAACCTCCTCTGCACCCTCTCCAAAGCATCCACATCCTTTTGGTAATGTGGCTACCAGAACTGTACGCAGTATTCCAAGTATGGTCGAACCAAAGTCCTATACAACTGTAACATGACCTGCCAACTCTTGTACTCAATACCCACTCCGATGAATGAAAGCATGTCGTATGCCTTCTTGACCACTCTATTGACCTGCGTTGCCACCTTCAGGGTACAATGGACCTGAACACCCAGATCTCTCTGTGCATCAATTTTCCCCAGGGCTTTTCCATTTACCATATAGTTCGCTCTTGAATTGGATCTTCCAAAATGCATCACCTCGCATTTGCCCGATTGAACTCCATCTGCCATTTCTCAGTCCAACTCTCCAATCTATCGATATTCTGCTGCATTCTCCGACACTAACCTTCACTATCTGCTACTCCACCAATCTTAGTGTCATCTGCAAATTTGCTAATCAGACCATCTATACCTTCCTCCAGATCATTTATTTATATTAAAAACAACAGTGGTCCCAACACGGATCCCTGTGGAACACCACTGGTCACAGTTCTCCATTTTGAGAAACTCCCTTCCACTACAACACTCTGTCTCCTGTTGCCCAGCCAGTTCTCTATCCCTCTAGCTAGTACACCCTGGACCCCATGCGACTTCACTTTCTCCATCAGCCTACCATTGGGAACCTTATCAAACGCGTTACTGAAGTCCATGTATATGGCATCTACAGCCCTTCCCTCATCTATCGACTTTGTCACTTCCTCAAAGAATTCTATCAAGTTGGTAAGACATGACCTTCCCTGCACAAAACCATGCTGCCTATCACTAATAAGCCCATTTTCTTCCAAATGTAAATAGATCCTATCCCTCAGTATCTTCTCCAGCAGCTTCCCCACCACTGATGTCAGGCTCACTGGTCTATAATTACCTGGATTATCCTTGCTACCGTTCTTAAACAAGGGGACAACATTAGCAATTCTCCAGTCCTCTGGGACCTCACCCGTCCTCAAGGATGCTGCAAAGATATCTGTTAAGGCCCCAGCTATTTCCTCTCTCGCTTCCCTCAGTAACCTGGGATTGATCCCATCCGGACCTGGGGACTTGTCCACCCTACTGCCTTTTAGAATACCCAACACTTCCCCCCCTCCTTATGCCGACTTGACCTAGAGTAATCAAACATCTATCCCTAACCTCAACATTCGTCATGTCCCTCTCCTCAGTGAATACCGACGCATTAAGAATCTCACTCATTTTCTCTGACTCCTCGCATAACTTCCCTCCTTTGTCCTTGAGTGGACCAACCCTTTCTCTAGTTACCCTCTTGCTCCTTATGTACGAATAAAAGGCTTTGGGATTTTCCTTAACCATATTTGCTAAAGATATTTCATGATCCCTTTTAGCCCTCTTAATTCCTCGTTTCAGATTGGTCCTACTTTCCCGATATTCTTCCAAAGCTTCATCTGTTTTCAGTCACCTAGACCTTATGTATGCTTCCTTTTTCCTCTTTGCTGGTCTCACAATTTCACCTGTCATCCATGGTTGCCTAATCTTGCCCTTTCTAGCCCTCATTTTCACAGGGACATGTCTGTCCTGCACTCTAATCAATCTCTCTTTAAAAGCCTCCCACATATCAAATGTGGATTTACCCGCAAACAGCTGCTCCCAATCCACATTCCCCAGCTCCTGTCGAATTTTGCTATAGGTGGCCTTCCCCCAATTTAGCACTCTTCCTTTAGGACCACTCTCATCTTTGTCCATCAGTATTCTAAAACTTACGGAATTGTGATCACTATTCCCAAAGTAATCCCCTACTGAAACTTCAACCACCTGGCCGGGCTCATTCCCCAACACCAGGTCCAGTGTGGCCCCGTCCGGATTGGACTATTTATATACTGCTCTAGAAAACCTTCCTGGATGCTCCTTACAAATTCTGCTCCAACTAAACCCCTAACACTAAGCGAATCCCAGTCAATGTTGGGAAAATTAAAATCTCCCACCGCCACCACCCTGTTGCTCCTACATCTTTCCATAATCTGTCTACATATTTGTATCTCTATCTCACGCTCGCTGTTGGGAGGCCTGTAGTATAGCCCCAACATTGCTACCGCATCCTTCCTATTTCTGAGCTCTGCCCATATTGCCTCACTGCTCAAGTCCTCCATAGTGCCCTCCTTCAGCACAGCTGTGATATCCTCTTTGACCAGTAATGCAATTCCTCCACCCCTTTTACCTCCCTCTCTATCCTGCCTGAAGCATCTACATCCTGGGATATTTAGTTGCCAATGTTGCCCTTCTCTCAACCAAGTCTCAGTAATAGCAATAACATCATACTTCCAGGTACTAATCTAAGCCTTAAGTTCATCTGCCTTACCTACTACACTTCTCGCATTAAAACAAATGCACCTCAGACCACCTGTCCCTTTGCGTTCATCATCTGCTCTCTGCCTACTCTTCCCCTGAGTCACACTGACTTCGTTATCTAGTTCCTTACAGGCTTTAGTTACCACCTCCTTACTGTCCACTAACCTCCTCATTTGGTTCCCATCCCGCTGCCACATTAGTTTAAACCCTGCCCAACAGCGTTAGCAAAAGCGCCCTCTGGGACATTGGTTCCAGTCCTGCCCAGGTGTAGACCGTCTGATTTGTAATAGTTCCACCTCCCCTAGAACCGGTCCCAATGTCCCACAAATCTGAACCCCTCCCTCCTGCACCATCTCTCAAGCCACTCATTTATCCTGCCTATTCTTTCATTTCTACTCTGACTAGCATGTGGCACTGGTAGCAATCCTGAGATTACTGCCTCTGAGGTCCTACTTTTTAACTTGGCTCCTAACTCCCTAAATTCTGCTTGTAGGACCTCATCCCGTTTATTACCTATATCATTGGTGCCTATATGCACCACGACAGCTGGCTGTTCACCCTCCCCCTTCAGAATGTCCTGCAGTCGATCGGAGACATCCCTGACCCGTGCACCTGGGAGGCAACATACCACTCGGGAGTCTCGTTTTCGACCACAGAACTGCCTATCTACTCCCCTCACAATCGAATCCCCTATGACTATGGCCCTTCCACTCTTTTTCCCGCCCTTCTGTACAGCAGAGCCAGCCACGGTGCCACAAACCTGGCTACCGCTGCCTTCCCCTGGTGAGCCATCTCCCCCAACAGTATCCAAAACGGTATACCTGTTTTGGAGGGAAGGGGATTCTGAAATAAATAGAGAGGTGGGGGTGGGGTGCGGGTGGGGGAGGCAGATGGAAGGCCCAGAACCTACGCTCAGTTCGTGGCAAATGACTGCACCTCCAGTTGCGAACCACTTCAACTCCCTCTCCCAGTCCTTGGACGACATGTCCATCCTGGGCCTCCTCCAGTGCCACAACGATGCCACCCGAAGGTTGCAGGAACAGCACCTCATATTTCTCTTGGGAACCCTGCAGCCCAATGGTCTCAATGTGGACTTCACAAGCTTCAAAATCTCCCCACCCCCCAACCTCATCCCAAAACAGTCCAGCTTGTCCCCACCTCCTTGACCTGTCCGTCTTTCCTCCCACCTCTCTGCTCCTCCCACCTCACTTACCAACCCCCACCCCCACCTCCTACCTACCAGCCTCATCCCCGCCTCCTTGACCTGTCCATCTTCCCTCAACTGACCAACCCCCATCCCGGCCCCCTACCTACACTCACCTTTACTGGCTCCATCCCCACCTCTGTGACCAGTTCATCTCCTCTCCACCTATCTGCTCCTTTATCCACCTTCCATCCACCTCCCCCCTCTCTCTATTTATTTCAGAATCCCCTTCCCCTCCCCCATTTCTGAAGAAGGGTCCAGACCCGAAACATCAGCTTTCCTGCTCCTCTGATGCTGCGTGGCCTGCTGTGTTCATCCAGCTCTACACCTTGTTATCACAGCAAATAATGCTGGCTGGTCAAAGAAGTAGGGTTTTAGGACTTATTTCTAGGTTGTGCAGGGAAGTAGCAAAGAACATTTTCTGAGTGGAGGCAAAAGACAACCAAAAATGGAACAAAGTGGAGATAGAGTCACTTAAACTTGCACTGACCTTAGAAAGTGCTTGTAAAATTTTTAATGCATCATGTAATCTGGTGTCATCTTTTGAGGCCTTCGCCAGAGCAAGTTGATGAAATCGATTGGATTCTTTTTGATATACTGCCACAAGGCGCATGAAGAAATCGTCAGGCATTGTCCTCCACCAGCATTCTAGTCAAGAATGGGAACAGAAATGTGCATGAAAAATCAAACACAGCCTACCAGATGGTAAAGTATCAGAGAAGGTGAACAGGATGATGAACTCTTAAGATAGAACTGTGGGTGCTATGCTTAAAACAATCGAGCCAATCCTTTGCTGATAATTTCCACAGATTAGCTGCCTTGATTTTCGCATTATGTGGTAGTTCAACTGAAGTTCTGATCAGGAGGAGCACCAGTGCTTCAGCAACTTGTCCAATTATGAGAACCCAAAACATATTCATATTGAAAGTGGTGCAGAATAGACCGAAAGAATATTTCTTTCAATACCTCAAGGCCCGTCAACTTTACAGTTATTGAGGTATGTTTTGAAGCATTGTCACCTTAGTAATGGAAGAACTGTGGAAGAGTTAATTTTGGAATTATTTTCATTGCGATCAGCAGTGTTTTAACTGATGTTTACACAATTGAGAAAAGAAACTCACCAAGAATTTTAAAATAATCTTCTTCAAGTGAGAGAATAGCTCTGTTTAAAGATTCTAGCAGCATTGCTGAGTCCCTTGGCTGTGTCAGAATAGCAATGAGTTCTGGTATTATAATGTAAACTCGCAATGTTTCCACACAAGTCGGAGATCGAGGTAACGATGGGATCAGGTTATGCTGGACTGCATTCTTCACCTGTAAAATTGTGAACATCAGCAACAGGACTGTAACTCCTTTATAATAAAGAAAGTCCACTTTATCAATTTAGTACATTACATTTAACTCTAAAATGTGCTTTACGTCTTATTCCTGATTCATATTGCAATGCAAGATCATCCATTGCCACAGGTGAATATCTGCAGCAAAATATGCGATAGCACTGGTCAATAGGGGATTATAATGCAGACATTTAACAGCTGACAGGAGTAACGCTAATAGGGATTCCCTAAATATTTAGTAACATAGGACATAGGAACAGGAGTAGGCTATTCAGCCCCTCAAGCCTGTTCCATCATTCAATGAGATCACAACTGATATGTGGCCTAACTCTATATACCTGCCTTTGGCCCACATCCCTTAATACCTTTGCTTAACAAAAATTTATCCATCTTAGATTTAAAATTAACAATTTATCCAGCATCCACTCCCAGCTGATGAATAGAGATCCAATCATTTACTGCCCTTTGTGTGTTAGAAGTGCTTCCTAACATTTCTCCTAAATGGTCTGGCCCTAATTCTCAGACTGGCATGAATCTATTTAATTTAAAGGGTTTCCAAAGCAATGATTCATGGAGAAACAATCTTTAAGATCATTCTCAGAAGGCTATAAAAGGAGAAACACTGAGGTACAACCAGTCGTACCAGGCATTGGTGAGACTACCTCTGGAATTGGGGAGGCAATGACCTAGTGGTATTATCACTGGACTATTAATCCAGAGACGCAGGCAATGTTCTGGGGACCAGGGTTCAAATCCCGCCATGGCAGATGATGGAATTTAAATTCAATAAATATCTGGAATTAAGAATGTAATGATGACTGAATCCATTGTCGATTGTAGGAAAAACTCATCTGGTTCACTATTGTCCTTTAGGGAAGGAAACTGCCATCCTTACCTGATTTGGCCTACATGTGACTCCAGACCCACAGCAATGTGGTTGACTCTTAGGTGCCCTCTGGGCAATTAGGGATGGACAATGAATGCTGCTAGGTCAGTGACACCCTCATCCCGTGAATGAATAAAAAATATGTATTGCGTTGGTCTCCTAATTTAGGGAGGGTTGTACATCCATTGGAGGCAGTAATAAGAGAAGGTTACCAGAAATGGACAGGTTGTCTTATGATGAAAGCTTGGCCAAGGTAAACTTGTATCCTCTGGAGTTTAGAAGACTAAGTGGCAACTTGTTTGAAACATATGAAAACTTAAGGGGTCTGAAAAGAGTGCATGTGGAAAGAATACTAAATCTTGTGAGAGAATCTAAACTGTTTAATAATTAAGGGGATATCCACTTAAGATAGAGAGGAGGAGAATTTCTTTTCTCACAGAGGGTCACATGTGTTGGGAATGCTAATTCTAAAAGGTAGAGTCTTTGAATATTTTTAAGGCAGAGGTACATAGATGTTTGACAAGCAAGGTGGGGAGGGAAAAGTGTGGAGTGATTAGATAAGTCATGATCTTATTCAATGGCAGGGCAGGCTTGAAAGCCAACTCCTGTTCTTAGTCATATGTTTGTGCTGACACACCGCTCTCAGACCTGTGTGTTTTGGTGGCTTTACCAAAAAAACCTGTACAGCAAAATACTGTTTCACTAACCCTGAAAGGGATGTGTTTTTTGACTGAGTCACACAGTTCCTGCCCTGAATCAGAATATTCAGGATTCAAACCCTTCTCCAGACAGTCCGTGTGAGTGATTCTGAATTCTGGGTTGCTATCCAGAAGGATTCTTATGCACCATGGCTGATTCCCTCCTGTAAACTAATGAACTGTGGTAGTTCATAAGAGCCTCTTGCTGTGTAGGACTAAGCAGCCTTATCACTGGAATAAAAGCTGATTACAACAGCTATCATTTATGCATACCTCTTTCACATAACAAAACCACCCGGGGCGTTTCACAGGTGTGTTGTAAGACAGGATAAGACACCAATGATGATAATAGGCTGAGAACCAAAATCTTAACCAAAGGGATGGATTGCAAGGCATTTGTCAAAGGAAGAAAGAGAGAAAATGAATCACAGAGATCAGAGAGGGAAAAAAGTTCATTCCAGTGCTTTAAGCTGAATGTATGTGTGACTGATTAGTCAGTAACATTACCTTCTGTAACAATGAGCAATTTTTTGCCAAATACTCAATGCCCCGAGACACTGCAGATAGATTGAGACCAGACATCTCTCCGTTTGTTTTGAAATGACCATCCTTCCTGTTTTGAAACAGATGAAAAATTATTCCTCATGCATTTTGGAAACAGTATTATATTGTACCGGCTTCTTCAAAGTTACTGCAGATTGATTTGATGTACGAGTTCTTTGTGTTGACCCAAATCTATGTAGTTGCCTGAAACAAAGAGTGGTACAATGCTCTGGAGCTCAAACATTCACTTTCACTAGGGTAATCTTTAACCTTCACCGTCTGATAAATTGGCAAAACTTGCATCTTTGTCTGGTTTTCATTCCATTGAAATATGCCCACGAACACTAAAGTCTAGTCCTATATCCTTCGTTCAGTCTTTATTCCTTGTGAAGTACAGGTCTTCTACTGATCATATCAGTTTTAGGTCATCACTTCCAACTCAATCACAAGTTGAAATTATATGCTCCCTCCAGTGTAATAAAATGCCCCTTGGGGCTTCTTTATAAGAGAGTCATCAGATGGATATTTAATACCCAGTTAAAGAAAAAGATACTAACCCAGCTGACTTAAAGGTTGGTTGAAGAGACAGATTTTAAAGAGTGCCTTAAAAGGAGAAATGGTCAGGAGGCAGAGAGGATAAGGGAGGAAATTACAGGGCTTACAGCCTAGACAGTTGTGAGTATTGGCACAAATAATGGGCCACAGGAATTTGGAAATGTATGAGAGGCTAATTCATATTTTCCATCAATGTACTGAAGCTGTACAGCTGATTACATGATATTTTTGGAAAAACAGTGTAGTAGGCTTCCCTCAGAATTCAGGCACTTGCCTAGTTGCACTGCAGATTACCTGCCTTAAATACTTAAATGACACTTACTCAGATTCTGGGAAGAGAGATGGAGTCAAAAGTATAAGTTGTTGGTGGAAAGTGTTTGGTCAGAAGACTGTGAATTCCCAAATGGGAATGAATAGAAGGCAGGGAAGGGAAGTTAATAAAACTTGATAGTTTGACTGAGTATAGAAATACAAGGAATAATAACAGATTCAGCCCTGTAAATCTTTGAGTGGCATTTCCGTACATACATTCTCTTCCCCAACCTTCTATCCATTTAATTGTATGAATGTCTGCAAATTCCATAAATTAAATTAATTAAATAAACATCACAAAATAAGTGGGGGGGGGGTGTAAAAATCAACTAGTTGTGACTTGAACCCAGGGAATAAAGCAATAACCTCAAATACAACCTGAAGCAAGACTTTTTGGGATATTTTGATTCTAATTGTTAGGCAACAGCACATTTTTTTACCTGACTTCCAGGAAACTTCCACTTAGGGTTTGAGAACAAGAAAATGCTTCCGAAATTGCCCTGTAAATAAAATGCAGAGAAATTGCATTTACACAGTTGTATTTTTAAACCATTATACACTTCCATCAATATATAGATAATCCAAATTCTTGATAAGGATACAGTTGGATCCTGTAGATGATTAGTTTTACAAGGCTTAAATAGAACTAGTGAAGTCAAATACCATGCTAAAATCACATTACAGGAATCTACAACCTGGATTGTATTTAGAGGCTACACTGATTGAACAAATTCGGGCAAGATAGATTGGAAAGAAAATGCGTAACAATGAAATACGACTTCCGGATGTTTAGAAACTGAAAACTAATTGACTCCTCAATTCTGTACGGCATCCCAATGGCATTCAACACAAGTACAATATAGATCGTAAAATAAACAGTAGCCCAAACATTCCTCCAGTCCAATCTGCTGATCAATGTGCAGCAGAGGAATCACTGTGCTCAGTTTCTGACTCCACCAGAGTACCTCCAACTTCAGTGGCTGTCTGCATCAATACAGAGGGCAACTTGGAAACCCATCTGGTGGTATGATATTTGGAACACTCTGCTCCAGAACGATCTGGATGTTCAGTTGCTGACGTTATTTAAGGTTAAGGTTAATAGATTCTTAGAATTGATGAGACATGTGCATTATGCAGGACAGTAGTATTGTGGTCAAATATTAACCATGAACATATTAAACAGTAAAGTAGGCTTCGGGGTCATACGTCTATTTTCAATGCTCTTATTATATATGTGTCCACCAGAAATTGAAACTTAAGATTCCCTGTTTAGTGCTTTTATACCATCAGAATTATTATAATGGAAATCAATGTATTAATGCCATTCTTAACACCAAGAAGTAAAATCTAGGCATATTATTTTGGATATTTGTCCATAGGAAATTAATGAGATATTCTCAAAGAAGTAGTGTGGATTTGAGAGAGTTAAACTGGAATTTTAGTGAAGGAAACTTACTTTCTTCTTTCTTTGCACAATTGCTTTTCCAGGAAATTGTCCACTGTGATGATTCTCTTTGAAGTTATGTGTGAAAAGTGGTCCATTATGGACAACAAATCCTGGAGAGAAAAAGTAAATAGCACTGAATATCTGTCTACCAGCAAAGAACATCAAGTTCTTTCAAGGGAAATCCTTTAAGGGATAGTGAAATTGTCTCCCGTGCAGACAATGTGCTCTTGATATGGCTGAGCTAGCCATATATCTTGGGATCATTTCAGACTGTCTCCTGTGACAGTAAAAGGAGAGCAGCTGCAATGCCAGGTTGCAATGATGAAGGTGACCCAAAGAAAGGAAAGCAGGCAAAGCAACACTGGACAGGGGAAAGAAGCTTACAAAGCCGCAGCACTACTGGGTAAACTCCGGAGTAGATTTTGGTCAGGTTTGTTTCAATTTCCTGGATATGAACAACTAATTTTGAGGCACCATGTCCCTTATGCACCTGTTTTACGGACACTGACATATTATTAAATATCACTTTGGAGGCTGCTGCTCTAAGCAGAGAAGATTTATAATAATTTTGGTTGATGAAGGAATACATGGAGACAAAACTAAAAGTACACGAGGAAGGGGGAGTGCAATGGAACTAGGTAGAAAGTGCTTCCAGAGAGTCAACATTGGCTTCTCAGGTAAAGTGGCTGCCTTATGGATTGTGAAATTCTGTTTTTCCATAGTTGATTCTTCCGATGTATAAAATATTCTTACCACTTCATCACTGCACACTGCAAAGCTCTGGTTTCCTCCTGCAAAAATTCTTTTGATAACTGGCTCGGTTGTACGGCCTGCGAAAATGCACAAAAACTAATTAGGTGGACTTCAATGCCGTATTGTATGTCATCCTATTTATCGTTGGGTAATATGCTAACTTTACGTTTACATGCATTTCCTACCATATTCTTATATCAAAAAAGCTGCATATTCATATTTCCAATGAAAAGTGCCTATGTGATTACACATTTATTCCTGAGGATATTGCAGCACTATCACTGGAGAAAGGGTGTAAGTAATGTGACATGTTTACATAGGACATTATAAATATATACACAAGAATTTATAATGTGAATACTAAGAAAAATAAAGGGATCAAATGTGCAATGTTAAAATGAGGATTGCACGCAGTTCTCCCCAGCTTCTAACTCTACCTCACCTGAAATCTACATTTAATTTTAATTCCCCATGCTTTATGGCATATCCATTCCATTCCATTCCATGAGCGGTCTATGCTGGAGCCTTTGGTGCATTGGAATTCTGATGTTTCCCCCAAGTTGTTCACCTTGGCAGCTTTGTCATGATGGATGGCGTTTGCCTTCCACACTTGTGGCAGAGCAATGAAGGAGATCCAAAGTCTACCTCAGCTGAATAGGAATCAAACCCATGCTGTTGGCATTATTCTGAACCATACACTTCCCATTTACCCAACTGAGCTAACTGGCTCCCTAATTGCTGGTGTCGTTGACAAATTTCACTTGCATTATATATAAAATCAAACTGCAAAATATCACATCAAACAATCGATTTTACATGCTATTCCTTTTCAAAGTTTTCCCATGGGTTGTACAAATGCATAAACTTCCAACTCTTACCATTTCCAGTTGTGCGTTTGCCAGATGTGCCCATTATGTTGATGGGAAGAGGCAGTAACTGATCTCTGGTCTCTCCATTTCCCAACTGTCCTTTCTCCCCACGACCAAAAGAATAGATCTTGCCAGATGATGGAACGAAGGCCAGTGTGTGGTAACTGTTTAAAAATAAGTATACTCATTCATAACTATACAAGACTCTGCCCAGTTTTGTGCCGCTGATCAGCTCTAAACACCATAAACAATCTTGGTCTCTCTCTTAATGTTTTCAATATTGAACTCTGGATCAGTGTCATAAAGTCCTATAGCATGGCAACAGACCCTTTGGTCCAATTAGTCCCAAACTAAACTAGTCCCACCTGCCTGTGTTTGGGCCATATCTCTCTAAACACTTACTATTCATGTACTTATCCGAATATCTTTTAAATGCTGTAATTGTACCTGCATCCACTACTTCCTCTGGCAATTCATTCCACACACTAAACACTCTCCATGCAAAGTTGCCCCTCATGTCCTTTTTAAATCTCTCTTCTCTCACCTTAAAAATACACCTCCTAGTTTTAACTCCTGCACCTTTGGGAAAAGACATTTGCCATTCACCTTATCTATGCCCCTCATGATTTTATAAACTTCTATAAGGTCACCCCCCCAACCAATTATGCTCCAGTGAAAAAAGTCCCAGCCTATCCAGGCTATTTTTATAACAAACCCTCCATTCCTGGCAATATCCAGGTAAATCGTTTTTCTCCCTCTCCAGTTTAATAATATCCTTTCTACAACAGGACGACCAGACCTGCACACAGTACTCCAGAAGAGGCCCCACCAATGGCCCCTACAACCTCAACATGACGTCCCAACTCCTATACTCAAAGGTCTGAGCAATGAAGGCAAGTGTGCTAAACACATTCTTAACCACCTTGTCTCCCTGTGATGCAAATTTCAAAGAATTATGTACATGTACCAGTAGGTCTCTCTGCCCTAAAATGCTACCCAGTGCCCTGCCATTAACTGTATAAGTCCTGCCCTTGATGGTTTTACCAAAATGCAATACCTCACATTTATCCAAATTAAACTCCATCAGCCACTCCTCAGCCCAATGACCCAATTGATCAAGATCTCTTTGTAATCTTAGATAATCCTCTTCACTGTCCACTATACCACCAACTTTGGTGTCATCCACAAACTTAATAACCATGCCTCCTATATTCTCATCCAACAGGAGGAATTTTTACCCTCCTAGATCAGTGGGAAAGACACAATTGAAACAGGGCATCTCCATTTCCTACAAGGGTCCTGCTAATTCCTCATTTCGATGCTGCCCTCTGACAGGACCCTGAAAAATAAACTAAAATTGGGATCTAATGGCATACTTGAGACACTTATGGAATGTTAATCTGATTTCCAGCAGTGAGTTCATCTCTTAAAGTTGTCAGGAAGCCAGCAAGACTTCCTGAGATACACAAAAAGCATGGGGTAGTGAGGTATTGTAACTCTTTCCAACCTAAGAACTGAAGTCTGGGCTCTGTTGCCCCATGCTTCCACCCATCATTCCAAGCCACATGACCTTTGTAACATCTCACACCACCCATCTCCCACAGTTATCTTACTCATGGAAGCTATTTCATTGTGTCAGCCCTAATGACCACTCACCACACCTTGTTCTCATGTTGACCAAGTCATTATTTATTTTTAAGTGAAGTGTATTTTTTTTTTAAATAGATCTCAACCCCAGACTTTTATAAATAATAAAATAATTAACCAGATAGACTCACACTGCAAATGTCTATCGATGTTTAGTAACAAAAGAAATGATTAATTTAAATGTTTCTGCTTTGCACGTAAGGAACAGTGGAAGAGATATAGCTGGATTTAATTTTCTTGATGCCTTACAAGCTTACCTTCCACATGCTATTTGAGAAACTTTCTTTCCAAACAGGTAACCGAGTAGATGAGGTTTGGTCTCATCCTGTGCAAAATTGTGTCCCAGCTGCCCATAACTCCCAGCTCCAAAGGTGAAAACAAGTCCATCCTAGGGAAAAAGATAATGGTGCAAGGGAATGTTACTCCTCACCACAAGGGAAAAAAAGACCTTAATCATAAAGTGCCAGTGGCCTTTTATTGTTGGTAATCGGTACATATTATGTAATTGTCCTTAGTCATATTTCTTCATCAGAGAGAGTGAGAATTAGTTACTTATAGCTTGAGAGTAACCACTCCACAAGGATGGAGGCATGGCCTCTATAAACTATGACAGCCAGCACAAGAATTGAAACCATACTGTTAGGCTCAACCAGGTTCTGGTCATTTAGCTAAGTGAGGTAACCAACCCACCAGCATGTATGATAATGCTGACAGAGTCTATAATAGAATCCCTTGTTACCTTAACTGCTTTTATTAGTTATAATTTGCTACATTCCAAATTCTGATTCATTCTAGACTACAATGAGTACATTAATTAATAGTGCGGGAAAAAGTGTAGTCCAAAAATATTAATAATCCCAATGAATGTAGTTATTACTTAGACATCACACATTTTTTGTCCCACTGCAGATTGACATTACTTGTTTGTGCTAACCCATACGTAAAAATACACTCCACCCATTATGTTCTTCCCTAGATCAGGAAGCAAGAATCACACAGGAGATTCTTGAACCATTTACCAAGAAGCAGTCACCTCTTTGCCTATTGCAATTTTTATCATCAGACTGCACACTTTCAGGTGAACTGCAATCATGACTAAAACAAAAATCTGTAATTATAATTAGGGCTATTGCCACACCCCAAAAAGGAACAGAAGATGAGATTTTAATTTCATTTTTTTTCCTGAACAAACCTTTGTCAGGACAGCAGTGTGCTCTTCTCCACAGGAGATATAGATGATCCTCTTACCCTCCAATAGCTTCACATGTTTGGGTTCATACCTATCTGTAAGGAAGATTGGAAAGACAAGTGACTCATGTTTCTCTTCCTTTTTCCAAAGTAATAATACATTCTTAGCTAATTTGATTATGAAGGCTCTGAGTCAGAATCAAATGATTCTGACTGTTCAATTGAACATGGTGTTGTTGCAAACTCCTATCCTGAATTTCTGCAGACAGTCTGCTTCTCTTATGGAATAATGTGAGGGAATAATATTTATTCTATTGTTAAGAATCCAATTTAGTCATGACTTAAAAAATGCTGAAGCTCAATGATTAGTGCACATAAAACTGAACAAAGTTGGGAGAATGAAAATGGGAAGACAATGGAGCTCCAATTTTTAAATAAATCAATGTACAAAGCAAAGGGTCTGAAGGGCCCAGCAAGAAGATGAAAGATAGTCTAAATTTGTGTGGTCTTATTTGGACCAAATTTAGATGAACATTCAAGATGAGAATGATCAGAGAAATTGAAATGATAATGCACATGGAGGTCAGTAGCATACATGCAAATGTGATGGATATGTTAAGCCAACCAATCACCCAAACTACATTTGGGTTTCTCGATATTGAACTGTGAATGTAGTAAGCAAGATTAAAGTTTCCAATTATTTCCAATCTTTTCCAAGTTACTTAACACAGACCAGACACTTGTGTGGAGATCTGCAATCTGGAGAATGAAACCTTGTGGAGCTACATCTGATGATGGTATATACTCTACATTAGTTATAGATCAAGCTGAATGCACAGTAGTTACCCAATATGTAAATAATACTGAACCTGAAGGATACACAGTGGTGAGGAGTGATATTTCAACTCATTCAACCACTCAGTTGTCACTTTAGGCAGATCTGAAATTGGAACTGTTGCCTAACAGAAACTTGAGTCCAATTTCTAAGTGGTAGCCCACCCACTGTTGAGAAGGATTGAAAGTTGTCTGAATGAGATTGGAGCAGTTGTAATTGCTCTGTACTCTTATTCTGTAAAAAAAAGTCTTTCTTAAAGGTGCCAAAGTTTCCAGAAACAACATTTCTTCTTGTTCATTTAACTTGTCCAACGAAAATGATCTGTGGATTTTTCCGACAACAACTGGCAAATACACAACCAGGAGAGTTAATTTACCTTGACTTTTCCCATCAACTCTCAAAAAGAATCAAAGTATCGTTGCCACAATACTAACGGCTCCAGTAAAACATTTCATCTCTTTCTCATCTCCAGCATTCAGCCAATCTGAGTAATATCTGAAAGAAATGTGTTTTCTGATTTGCACTTGCATTGGAAACTACAAATATTCATACTCAAGGCTCTGCTCTTTGCACTCAGAAAGAACATCAACACACAATGTGCCTGGTTCAAATCAACAAAATAGGTGACGGCCATAATTTTTAAGGGCAATTCTTTGACAAATCAGAGCCTGATTTAAATTTAAACAAAGCCTGGCAGTTAACTATCAATTACAATTAATTGATGCATTCTCCAAGGCTGCACTCTATCAATGAGAGTCCATTTGCCAACCAATCAGCACTCCATTACCATGTATATAAATGTTGGTTTTCTCCTTGTATTGGTATTCTTGCAAATGGTCCTGATGAGTGCAAGGCAAAAATCTTTGATAAAATGTGACTTCTTTCAGCAATACTCAAGTTCTGCACTACCAAATGACTATTTGTTACAATATATTTGTTGTATTTCCATTCCTCCTACATGACACTTAAATCTATGAAAGTCTTCTATGTTATCGCAATGCAACTCAATTTCATCAACACAGGTTTCCACAAATCCATAAATATGAAAAGCTCTTAATCAAAACATACACATTATTAATATGCTTTGATTTTGCACCAGCATGCACTTCCAAGATTTCAATTTCTTATAAACAGATCTAAGAGATTTCTTTTCCAGTCTTGCGATTATGTTCAAGAACACAGACATTGAACAATGAAGCACATACAAAGAAATTTCTGCCTCAATACTTACTTAACTGGGGAGAGGTCAAAAACATATTGACCCAGACTTTATGCTTGTAATGACCAAGAAACTGTCAGCTTTAAATACTATGAAACTGGAAATAAAGTCTAGCATCTACACACATGCGGTTGAACTCAGAAATCCAGAAGCATCTGTCAGTGAGTTTCTATTCCACTGCAGGGTGTTGAAGTCCTTACAGATGGAAATAATTAGAAATTGCTAATTTGATGGGTTCTTCCACTTCTTCAGGCTAATAAATCCTGAAGAATTCTTGTTTAACAGTATTTTCACAATAGCACGGTAGACCAAAATTACTAATAATCAAACTGCAGACAGTCCCCGAGTTATGAACTGGTCCTGTTCTTGAGTACATTCATAAGTCAATTTATCCACAAGTGAGAACAATACAGTACAATATAAAATAGCCATTCATAAGGACAAGCAAATGTTCACATGCCAGATCTTTAAAATTAATATTGATATGCTCCTGTATGGGATTTGATCATAAGTATAAATGCTGGGAGATTGGACATTCATAAATATAGGGGCAACTGTAATTGTACTATATTGAGAAAATTGTACTATATTGAGAATGCTGAATTGCTTTACTCTGTGCTAAATTCCACTGAATTTTAAAAATAAATTTTTAAATCTAGGATTGCTTATGGAATTTCGGCTTCTACCTTAATTCAAGTTCTATTTCCCAATTTTTAATTCAACAGTTTGTAAAATTGTAAAACATGAGCGAGAAAATTCCTGGTTTTTCCTGTGAGACTGCTTCAAAGCGATTGCTTGATAATGTTACTGCTGTCTGATACCAGAGAACTAGTAAAATTAGAACTAAATCCAGAGAAATGTGAAGCCTGCACTATAGAGATTACCATGTAATTGTGGACGACCTTCTTCAAAATCAATGGCGAGTATAACAGTTTGCCTCTGATCACAAATTCTGAGCCATTGTTAAAAAAATCCCCTGGTTTTGAATTAGAATTAGAATTAGGTTTTATTGTCACATGTACTCAAGTGCAAAAGTACAATGAAAAGTGTACAATGTTGCCACACACAGTGCCACCTTAGGTACAAAGTACCTAGTTACACATCTTAGGTACTGAAATAGATTAGGTACAAAAATACAGAAATAAAGGAAAAGCTGAAAGTTCTATATTACAGTCCTTCATAGGATAAATTAGGGAAATAAAGAAATAAAGTTAAAAGATGATGCAAATTTTGTACGGAAATGGAGGTAAAGGAAAAGGAGGAGCAATAGTTTTTGTAATTGTTCTTACCCTCTGTATCCTTGAGTCCCAGCTGTCCGTGATTATTTCTTCCCCATCCAAACACCGCCCCAGAGAGAGACAGGGCGAAGCTGTGTTCTCCTCCTGCAGTGATCTGAGCGACTGGCATCCCAGGAAGAGATACCATCAACTCAGGAATGTGTTGACAAGCATCTTTTGTACCAAGACCGAGCTGGCCGTAAGTGTTCTGGCCCCAGGCAAAGAGTTGGCCATCTTTCAACAGAAAATAATTGAAAAAAATATACTTTTGGTTCCAGTACGTTTGAAATGATCGTGTATAACTCTTACAAGAAAACTGAAAAATAGAAAAACTGATTTCTACTTTAACCTATATTTTATAAAGTTCTAAATACGCATCAGATATTGAACGAACCATTATTCATACAGTCCCAAGGAAGGGTCACTCGACCCGAAACGTTAACTCTGATTTCTCTCCACAGACGCTGCCAGACCCGCTGAGCTTTTCCAGCAATTTCTATTTTTGTCTCCCATTTCTCATACCATCAGGTACCTCAATTACTGTTACCTCCTTGATATTGTAAACATCTTTGAATCAGAAGGTCAAGGGTCCAAGTCACACTCTGGTAGGTGATGACTGAAATTCAGTCTCTAAGGTTCAAGTTACTCATATCCAAATGTAGCAACACTGGTTCAGTGAATCTAGTCTCTGAATCAGGAAGGGTTGAATTTAGACCCCACCCCAAACAGCCCTAACAAATAGAGACCAGAGCACTAGCCCTGAATGATGGTCAGGTGTGGGTATTGGTGCCTAACTGTTGTGAATGGTTCCACCTATAGCTAATGAATAGATGGGACTATTTACCCTTTGAAGGTAAAAGAATAATGAGATAGGCAATGGAAACCACCTGGAGACTCTTCCTATATATATGGATCAAGAATCATGTATGTGGGACTTGAGTTAGGGTTCATGCAAGGGAAATCACATGATGGTAGGACATTATTGACTAATTCCTTTTGGCAATATAATAATATCAGGTCTTTTTCCAGACGTGAGCTCAAATCTCAATGTGTCAGTTTGAAAGTTTGAACTCCGATTTAAAACATCTGGAAATATAAACCTGTTTCTTCACTGTCTTCTGAAGTGGCCTTGCACGTTGTGCCAGATTGTTAATTCAGGCTACCTTTGGACGGCATTAACCAGCAATGCCTGAATCCCAAGCATAGAACAAATAGTTACACCTTCTCGAACTGAAGGCACAAAAGACAAAATAATTGGCTGCAAACTTTTGTGGTATATTACAAAAGAAAAAGACAGATCTGCATTCATATCACACCATCCACGATGACAGAGTAGCCCAAAGTGCTTAGTGACAATGAAGTATGATTGTAATGTCAGAGAAATGGATGCCAAAATGCACATACCAAACTTGCACAAACAGCTTGGTGTTAACCACCAACTAAGGTTTTTACAATGTTAATTGTGGGATTAACGTTCATCAGGATACTGGGTGTAACTCTGTGGCTTTTCTTTTAAATAGTGCAGTAAAATCTTTTATATTCACCCACACAGACAGATGGGATTTGCTCCAAGTTACAGCACCTCCAGCAACACAGCAAACCATCAGCACTACACTGGAGTCACAGCCTTCCAGAACTGAGATTTGAACACACAATCTTCTGATCAGAACCAATAGTCCTGATAATTTTGATCAGCTAAAAGAATTACTTAGTGGAAGGTGTTATCAAAAATGAATAACAGGCTCCTGCTCCTTCTCAGCTTGTCAACGAGATAAATATTAAGTAGAAATATAACATTTATATTCATGTAGTACACATGAATTACCTTGGCTCTGGCTGTCCTCAGTGCCAAATTGTGATTTAATTAAATGGAAATATCAAAGAATATGACAGCTACATATGACACTAAACTCAGACCTGGTTCACAACTAGAATGGATGTTATGTGTTTTTAATTGTATTTTACTTTAGATTGCATTACAATAATACAATGTTCCGAGATGGCAGAGAGAAATAGGCAGACATGCACATGGTGACAAATGAATAGAAGAATCCTTGGATTCCCAAACAGCATCAGATCAAGTCAGTCTTACATTTAAAATTAAAAATTGCTTTGACAAGATTAGGTTGGAAAGTAAATTGTGAAGAGGACATAAGGGGTCTGCAAATTAAGGGACATGGATGTGGGAAGTGAGTGGAAAAAAACTCTTCCAATTATGTTTAATGTAATAAGGACATTTCTACAAGGAGAGATTGATTTGTATGGAGCTGTATTTATTAGATTTTAGAAAGATAGTCGGGATCTAACTGAAACATATAAAATTCGAACAGCACCTAACTGACTTGAAAGGTTTCAGAAAAGATTTAGAAGGATGTTGCCCGGGTTGGAAGGTTTGAGCTATAGTGAGGGGCTATTTTCCCTGGAGCGTTGGAGGCTAAGGGGTAACCTTATAGAGGTTTATAAAATCATGAGGTTCATGGATAGGGTAAATGGACAAGGTCTTTTCTCCATGGTGGGGGAGTCAAAAACTAGAGGGCATAGGTTTAAGGTGAGAGGGGAAAGATATAAAGGGGACCTGAGGGACAACTTCATGCAGAGGGTGGTGCATGTATGGAATGAGCTGCCAGAGGAAGTGGTGGAGTCCGGTATGATTACAACATTTAAAAAGCTTCTGGTTGAGTATGGGAATAGGAAGATTTAATGGGATATGGGACAAATGCTGTTATATGGGTCTAGATTTATCTAGACTATCTGGTCAGCATGGATGAGTTGAGCCAAAGGGTCTTTTGGGGGTGGCATGGTGGCACAATGGTTAGCAGTGCTGCCTCACAGCACCAGGGACCCAGGTTCAATTCCAGCCTTGGGTGACTGTCTGTGTGGAGTTTGCACGTTCTCCCCACAACTGTGTGGGTTTCCTCTGTGTGCTCCGGTTTCCTCCTACTGTCCAAAGACATGCAGGTTAGGTGGATTGGCTATGCTAAATTGCCCATAGTGTCTGGGGTGGGATATGCAGGGATAGGGTACGGGGTGGGATGCTCTTCAGAGGGTCGGTGTGGACTCAATGGGCCAGATGGTCTGCTTCCACACTGTAGGGATTCTATGATTCTGTGCTTATAGATCTCTATAACTAGATGCAAGAAGGATATTTTCCCTGGTTAGGGGAGGTCAACTGAGATGAGGAAGGATTTCTTCACTCAATGTGTAATGAACTTGTAGAATTCTCTACCACAGAAGGCTGTAGATGCCAAGCTACTGAACATAATCAAGAAAGAGATAGATAAATTTGATAGCAATTAAAGGCATTAAGGGATATGGGGAGAAACTGGCAATTTGGCATTGAGATAGAGGATTAGCCATGATCATATTGGCTAATAACCTACTGCTGCTCCTAGCTTGTATGTAACAAGCATGCTTTTTTTTTTACCTTTTGTCAATGCCAGTGAGTGACTGTTTCCACAGGCCACTTGAATTATTTTTCTGGCACTCAAATCCTTAAGTAACCTAAATGTATAGGAACATAAGCATAATGAAACATCATTACTAAATTGTTCTCAGAAGTATATCATTTCACAAGAGGCTTTGTTGCAATTTTTTCAATGAAAGTTATTGTGTTAGTTAACATCAGACTTCAAAATGCAACCACCTGCACAAGCTTTTCTTTTGTCTCTGTATTGGCAAGGCAAACAAACGCAAAGACAACACAATTATATAGTTTATCAGAGCTTTATCACTGGATAAGCAGTTGCTGAATCCACCTAGCAGGTTTGGTTCAGCCAGTGGCACTCTTGCCTGGTCAATTTGCCCATTCAAGTCCCACTTTAGAAAGTTCAGCACATAACCAAAGCTGACATTTCAGCAGAGTCAGGCGCTGTCTTTTGAATGAGACAGGACAAATTTTTCCATGCACCTGCTGGCGGTCTGACAGTCAACTTCTATCAATGTTTTGCCAGTTTCTAATATTTAGCCAACTCAATTTACAACATGACAGTACAGAACAAAACAAAAATATAAAAGCCATCAGGCAGAATGTAACTCTTACTGTGGTTTCATAATTGAGAATGTTTCTGTTTTAGCTGCCGTTTTCCATGACTTAACCTTACTCTGAAAAAGACTTCCTGCTTTAGAAAGGAATAGGATGTGGGATGTTCCGCTATCGGCAAAGTGGATTTTCCGATCCTTGAAGTTAGAAAATTGGCCTACAGGGAAAGAATAAACACAGGATATTAATATTGAAGGGTACATTAACAAGATACCGTGGATGCTGTAAATCATAAACAAACAGAATATGCGGGAGAAACTCAGCAGGTCTGACAGCATCAGTGGAGAGACAAACAGTTAATATTTCATGTCCGAAATGATCTCTATTCTACAATCGCTATGTTGCTGGACTAATGATCCAGAGTCAAAATTGTAAGAATGTTGACTTTATTAAAATTTAGGGCTGCTCTTGTCTTTAACCAGTTTAACATTGTATTCCAAATTCACAGTTTCCACGGGTCTTGCTGAGGTGCAATATGGTACAGGAAGCTGCTCAAAAGGGGTAGTACGAAGAAATGCAGAGGTAATAGGGGAAGTAGAGTAAGGAGGATTGATACAGTCCTCTGTAGGAGCCAGAGCTCAGAACAACAAGGTGACAAGTGCCTGGGTCCTAATAGACTTCATCCTAGGGTCTTAAAATTGGTGGCGACTAAGATAGTTGAAGTTTGTTTCTTAGCAGCTCCGTGATGCAGAACACTGTGCTGTCAGGGCTGTTTCCCAGGATGTACACCGAGACAAATGTATGAATCCCAAAACATTAGGATGCAGGGACAACAAGTGTTTAAGAAACCTAAGATAATGTTATGATTTATTCATGAATGGAAATGAATGCAAAAATAAATTATGCTCCAGTTACAAACCATCAGAATGACTAAGGACAGCATTAAAATAACCTCGCTTCTGGTCAATTTATCTACGCCAATTGTAATAACATGGGGATTTAACAAATTATGAATCCCAATATTCGACTTAGTCCGTTAAACAGGTCCTTGCTAACGGTGCGTAGTATAAGGTCGATGCGCTGAAGATGTCTTTTCAGAACCGGGCCCCAGAGGTCGCTGCTGCAGCCGCCTCTGTGGCTGAGAAACGAAACCGAAACACATTAAAATCAAAGGGGAAAAGAAAACTGGTTTGGGGAGAGATTTGACGGGAACCGATACCGCACAGCTCTGGAAAAATCCAGACACTGTCATCCTGCATTATAATCAATAACCACATTGTAACTGATACCACACTGTAACCATATTTAGGACAAATGCAAAATAAATATAATTCCTGAGGCAACGCTATTTGAATGAATTATCAGACTGTAACAAGCGCCATACAATTCTTCATAAGAACTTATAATTAATAATACAGAATCTCTATTAAATATATAGTTAGCTACAGACTCTGCGTACTATTTACTTTGCAATATGTCAATCAGTGTTATGTATAATAATTTAATTTTAGACAATTCTCCTTCCCATTATAGACAGGATTGTAATATTTCTAAAAATCGAAGAAAACTGCGGATGCTGCAAATCAGAAACAAAAACAAATAATTGCTGGGAAAGCTCAGCAGGTCTGGCAGCATCTGTGCAGTGAAATCAAAGTTAACGTTTCGGGTCCTCAGAACTGTTCTGAGGAAGGGTCACCGGACCCAAACCGCTAACTTTGATTTCTCTGCACAGATTGCTGCCAAACCTGCCAAGCTTTTACAGCAACTTCAGTTTTTGCAATATTTCTGTCTCCTCACCTGATTTTGATTTTTGCTTCCGTCCGCAGGTTTTAGTATAAACTTTTCCATTTTCCAACACAAACACAGTGACTCCTTCCTGGCTGCAAACATGCTGAACCCTCTCTCCTTTGAGAATCTCCTCTGAATGTGAGCAGGGATTCAGTCCGCTCCCTGAGCCCAACTCCCCCCAACACAACATCCTCCCTCCTCTCTCTCTCGCTACCTGCTCAAACAACTGGGAATCGAGAGAGAGGGAAATAGTTCAACCCAGAGACGATCAGATGTAAGCGACACCTTTTGCTGAGGCTGCAGCAGCTCTAGTTTAAACCTTTGACAATCTCTCTCTCTCGGACGCACACACACAGAATATATTGATTTGTTTGGGGAATTCCCTGCCTTTAGCTCCGCCTCTGAGCCGTCAATGCGAACCAATGGCAACGAGAATTGCGTTGTTTTGGGACGTAACCTTTCTGCAATGTTGAGCGACTGTATTAAGTTTCCATTTCCGACTTATTTCCGTGTTTTTGAGCGCTGTTTGAATGATGAAAGGGAACCGAAAATGAAACCGAATCTGAAATCACGTCATTATCTAGACGTAAAGCTGGCGAATGAAAATCGATACTGAACATCAAAACAGATCCAATACAAACATTTAAGAGGAAACCACTCTGTTAGGATAACTGAGAGATAACTGTCGATGCTGGAGAATCGGAGATAACAAGGTCAGGCCAAGCAGCATCAGAGGAGCAGGAAGGCTGAAGGGTCTAGACCCGAAACGTCAGCTTTCCTGCTGCTCTGATGCTACTTGGCCTGCTGTGTTCATCCAGCTCTACACCTTGTTGTCTCTGTTAGGATAACTGACTGGTTTGAGCTATGAAGCAGGGCTTGTACTTTGCCGGTGTAGGACTTGACTCGCTTGTTCTCTGTTCATTGAACCAGAAAATCATAAAAGTCCTACCTGCTCAGAGGTATGAGACGTGCTGAGGGACACATTAAAGCATAAAGTAGCTGCCGCCAAGGTGCAGTGGGGAAAGACCACTTTCTGATGTCTTTCTGCTGACGTTATTTGAGGATCCGTTCAGTTATCGGATCCTCCCAGTACCTCAAATGCATGTAAATATCGTCTTATATGTGTAAGAGATGTCTTTGGTTTGTGTGGATTGAATCAAACTCCAAATGCGTATTTTAAAAACCCAGAGAATATATGGAGAATATATCCATGTTCTTTCCCTATAGCCCTGCAAAAACTTGTATTTCAAATGTGAGACACTTATTAGATCTCAACCTAAGTATTGTGTACAGTAGTTAGGACTACTATAAAGCAAAGATGTGTGCCCATTGCTTTGTTATCTATATCAACGATTTCGATGAGAATATACACAGCATGATTAGTAAGTTTGCAGATGACACTAAAATAGACGGTATTGTGGACATGAGGAAATTGCAGCAGGATCTTGATCAGCTGGGGAAGTGGGCTAAGAAATGGCAAATGTAGTTTAATATAGATAACTGTGAGGTGTTGTATTTTGGAAAGTCAAATCAAGGTAGGAGTTTCATGGTCAATGGTGGGTCCTTAAGGAGTGTAGTGGTACAGAGGGACCTTGGAGTTCAGGTGCACGGTTCTCTGGAAAGTAGAGTCACAGGTAGGCAGGGCAGTGAAGAAGGCTTTTGGCACACTGGCCTTCATCAGTCAGGGCATTGAGTACGCAAGTTGGGAAGTTATGTTTCAGTTGTACAGGGCATTGGTGAGGCCGCACTTGGAGTATTGTGTTCAGTTTTGGTCACCTTGCTTCAGGAATGATGTTATTAAACTGGAAAGAGTTCAGAAGAAATTTACAAGAATGTTGCCAGGACTAATGGACTGAGTTTTTTGGGAGAGGTTGGACAAGCTAGGACTTTTTCTTAGAGTGTAGGAGACTGAGGGGTGACCTTATTGAAGTGTATAAGGCATGGATTGGGTGAATGCACTCAGTCTTTTTCCCAGGGTTGGGGAATTGAGGACTAAAGGGCATCAGTTTAACGTAAGAGGGGAAAGAATACATGAGAACCTGAGGGGCAACTTTTTTACACAGAGGGTGGTACGCATATGGAATGAGCTGCCAGCAGAAGTGGTTGAGGCTGGTACATTAACAACATTTAAAAGACATTTGGAAGAATACATGGAGAGGAAAGCTTTAGAAGGATATGGGCCAAGTGCAGGGAAATGGGGTTAGTATGGATGTACACTATGGTCGGCATGGACCCTTTATTCTTTATTTTTCTTTATTCGACATTTTTTGGGCCGAAGGGCCTGTCTCCATGCTGTAGGACTCTATGAGACAGTGCCAAAGTGATTCCCAAGAATGTTCCCAGAGAAATAAAACAGGGAACTGCAGATGCTGTGCATCTGAAACAAAGCAAACAGAAATTGCTGGAGAAACTCAGAAGGTCTGGCATACTGGACTCAAAGGGTAACTCTGTTTTGTCTCCAGAGATCTTTCCAGACCTGCTGAGTTTCTCCAGCAATTTCTGCTTTTGTTTGTTTCAAAAATGATAAATTTCAGTTATGGGGACTGTCTTCCTTTGAGAGAAGAAGGCTGAGAGGAGATTTCTTAGAGGTTTTGAAAATGATGAGTGAGCTGGATAGAGTAGAGAGGGAGAAGCAGTTCCTGCTTGTAAAAGGAACAAGAACAAGAAGGCATAGATTTAAAGTGATGTGGAAATGAAGCAAGGATGCTCCGAGAATAAAATTGTTCACACAACGAGTGGTTAGGGTCTGCTATGCATTGTTTGGAAATGTGGTGGAAGTAGGTTTAACTGAGCCATTCAAGAAGGCTTTGGATGATTACTTGGATAGAAATTTGTTGGTATAGGGAAAAGGTAGGAGATTAGCACAAAGTAATGATGCTTTTTAATGAGCCAGTGCAGACACAATGAGCCAAATGGTCTCCTTCTGCATTGTCACAATTCTGTGATTCTTTATAAGAGTCATAAAATCCCTACACTGTGTAAACAGGCCCTTCAACCCAACAAGTCCACACACGACCATCAGAGCATTCCACCCAGACCCATCCCCCTATAACCCACTTAATCTACACATCCCCGAACATTATGGGCAATTTCCGATGGCCAATCCGCCTAACCTGCACATCTTTGGACTGTAGGATGAAACCAGAGCACCTGGAGGAAACCCACGCAGACACAGGGAGAATGTGCAAACTCCACATAGACAGTTGCCCAAGGTTGGAATTGAACCTGGGTTCCTGGCGATGTGAGGCAGCAGTGCTAACCACTGAGCCACCGTGCCACCCTTTGAAGTATTTATCCAATCTCCTTTTAAAAATGGAAGCCTAAACAATGTGCAGAATTTTACAAACCCCTGAATAGTGGTACAAGTGGTGTATACGATGGAGAACATAGGAACAGGAGTATGCCATTCAGCCCCTCAAACCTGTCCTGCCATGGCAGATCTTTGGATCATATCTGTTAATAACTTTACTAAACGAAAGCAATCTATCTCAGATTAACAACTGATCCTGTATCAACTGCCTTTTGTGGAACAGAGTTCCAAAACTTTATCACCCTTCGTGTGCAAAAGTGCTTCCTAAGACCTCTCCTGAACAGTCTGACACTAACTTTTACACTATCCACTTAGCTCTAGAACCCCCAACCAGTGCAAATAGTTTATCCTTATCTACCCTGTCTTTTCCAGTTAATATCTTGAAGACTTTGATCAGATCACCCCCTAAGCATCCAAATTCTAGAGAAAACCAGCCTAATCTGGATAATCTCTCTTCATAACTTGACCCTGAAGTTCATATATCATTGTTGTCAACCTATGATGTATTCCCTGTGGTGCCCAGACTAGCATCTCTAACAGTACAGCATTCCCTCACTATTACACTGGAGTGAACGTGAATACACAAAGGCCAAAATATGACACGTATCACCAGTTAACATTTATTAATAAGACAATTTCGTGTATTTGTACATTCAGCTCTGGTAGCTGGATTTGTTTAAAGTAGTTCCAACTTGGGAGCTAGTTGCTCAGCCGATAGTCCTTACCATGACCAATATGAAAAGGTCTGAGAGTGGAAAGTGAGAAACGTTACAAGAAGCAGGATCTTAGCTATTGACATCTTGCTGAAGTGTAGAAAGCTGATCTGTAAAGCAAAAGGGGCTGAGATGTTTCCAAAGGCTGAAACTCCTTCATGGAGATGTAGGAAATTCCTTCATCAAACAATTTATCTAAAATTTACCAACTCAGAAGAGTCACAAATTTCCCACAAGCATTGTGAACAAATCTTTATGTCCAATTAGCGGAAACATGAGTATACATATGCCCATGAGATTTCAGTGCAGGTGTTGCTTAAATACTGTACTTCAGAGCATGTTAAAATCACATTGTTTGGACCTTGTTGAAATAATTTGTTAACAGATGTCAAAAATGATTGTTAACTGCATATAAACATTCTTTTGATGAAATGTTGAATGTTTTCTTTACCAGGTATAGAGTTGAAGAAACCAGAACAGATGATTGTAAATAATCTTTTATTTGTAATATATGAACTCTCAATAATTATTTGCTTCAAATTGATTATATATAGTCAGAAAGATCATTAACACATAAACACAAAGATATTTGTCACATTTTTATTTTGGCTACGTGGAATCAGTAACTTAACTTGCCAACTCTGGTTTGGACATTTTCCTGCAGGATTCCTGCCACAACCTGTTATCTTCACCCAGCCTCTTACCCCATGTCCTCCTTTTTCTCATTAATATTCAAAATGGAATACAGTTTATTTTTGAAAACATCTGTTATTTCACTCCAGGCTCCTCTTGCCCAGCTCTATTATGGCTCCTTGCAGAATGATCTCTAATTGCTGGAGCCTTAGTGATCAGACCCTAGACAGTGAGCCTTGGTTTGTGGTGGTGGCATTCCTATTTTTTGAGTCAACCATATGGGAGCAGAAGCCTCTGAATAATGGGTTGAGGTCCAGCAGAGTAGGAACCTCATGCTGTCTCCTTACCCTCCACCACACCAAACCCAATCACCACACTTGACCTGGTCTAGTGAGTTGTCCTGATGGTGGGTTGTGAATCAGGCTAAGGGACCTGTCCACAAAGAAAATGATCTTTCAGCAAAAGGCATCTGCTGGTTGTGATGTAATGATGGAAGATATGGTCACCTCATTTGCCATCCAACTTTGCCACGGCCAATCAGATGGTGGAGGAATTAAATGATAAGTCCAATTAAAGCAGCTCATTCAGTTGCAGGAAAATCAATTTACCACTGTGGTCCCAAACATTTGAATTAGGAACAAAAAAGTGGACGATTCGGCCCTTCAAGCCTGCTCTGCCTTTCAATAAGATCATAGATGGTTGGTTTGTTTACTAAATTTTTAACTTTGGATTCCCTTGCCGATCAATAATCTACCAACTTCTACTTTAAAATTATTAAATAATTCCAGCTCCGTCACCTATTGAAGCAGAGAATTCTAAAGTCACACAACCCTCTGAGAGAAAAAGAATCTTTCACCCATCCTTGTCCTAAGGGGCGATGCCTAATTTTATAACAGTGTCAGAGATAGTAGAAACTGCAGATGCTGGAGAATCTGAGATAACAAGATGTAGAGCTGGATGAACACAGCAGGTCAAGCAGCATTAGAGGAGCACTAAGGCTGACGTTTCGGGCCTAGACCCTTCTTCAGAAAATAAGATTCTGAAGAAAATAATTTTCTGAAGAAGGGTCTAGGCCCAAAACGTCAGCTTTCCTGCTCCTCTGATGCTGCTTGGCCTGCTG